CAATGCGATGATTGTGACAGCTGAGAACAAATTCAGCTATGTTTGACAACTTCCAGAAAATATTGGCAGAGGACAGGGAGTCTGCACTGCCCAGCAGCACCTTTGTGAATTGATTAGCCATATAGCAGATGGCAAGCCTGCTGCAGACTGAGACAGCAGAAGATGGCCAGTCTGGTTGAGAAGAACTTGAAGACGACGGGGAAGAAAAAGCACGTCCTCACAGTGACAGCCCAAAACGCTATTTTGGAAATATCAGATGCACGGCAGATGAAGAACGGGACTGAGTTTTAACGTTTTCTTCAGCTGCTTATTACGAGCACCTGTCTGGCTCATAAAACAATATTATATAGCTCAGTTTAAACCTTTCCCTTTGACCTCTTTCCTTCATAAAAATCTTTAAAGAAAACACCAAACCCCATTCATTTAAAAATATTCTTCCAAGCAGGTCTTAGATAAACCATACAGCAATCAACCAATACGTTTGAGAGAACTTGCGTGCTTTCTCTGAAAGTGGCCATGTCCTGAAAGTTTGCTTTTTAGGAAAACATGTTCCGGACAAAGAGCAAAGGGCTTTGCTTCCCTCCTCCTGCCGCATATTTTTGGGAGGGGTTTGGCACATGTTTGGGGGGTAAAAAAAAAAAAAAATCATATTTTTAATGGTTTTAGGAAGTGCCTGAAGCTGCTCAGATTCTGCACAGCTGCTCATCAGTAGCCAACCATGGCTGAAGGAGCAGAAACTATGGATCGGAGAAATATGCCATCTTTGTCTGGTGCAGAACAATGCCGCCGCAGTGAAATACAATGGCTGTCTCTTATTTTCCACTAGGCCTTAGAAAGAGGAAAAAAAAAAAAAAGAGAGAGAGGGGTGGGGGGGGAAAAGGGGAAGGATCATGGAGTTTCCTTGCAGGGCCTCTACGTTAGCTCTGCGCTCACAGATATGCAAATCCTTCCCCAGGCCCAACAATAGCAGAAGCCCTGTGGGAGGAGACCAATAGCACAGACCAGGCGGCTGCTGCTCCCAACTCCTATGCCTACACAAGGTCCACAGGTTCCTAGGACTTCCCAAAAACTGGAAGGTCAAAGCATTGTCCAAGGAGAGCTGCAAAAGCTCTGGTGACAGAGCTCATCGCCCGCCGAGCGCACTGATATGGGATGTTTGGAAGCTCCCAGTTTGCCTGCTATTGGGTTTACGGATGCAACTGCCCAAAAGATTGATGAATCCAGGGTCCGAAGCCTGTATATTGCCCCTTGGGTGAATGAGGCTCACATAGAAAAAGTTGGAACGGAGAGAAAAAAGAAAGGAGCTTCTGCAGTGAGAGACCCCATGAACAACGCTTGCTTCTGCGTACTCTGCACAGCCCTTCTGAAGGGGGGGCTGGGGTTGGTTTTGGTTTTAACCCAGACGACAATTACCAGGATTTAACAAACTCTCTGACGTGCAGCTATCAACAATACCTAAAATTTTAAAGCAAAGACTGAGGGAGTACCAGCCCCAGACTGGAAACTATAGCACAGAGCTACTGCCACACAAACAACTCAAACCATTAGGGTTTGACGGTTTGAGCAGCGCTGACAGCAACCTATAAAAGCTGGAAAACCAAAACCATTCAGTGATGCGGACTTACACCCTTTTAAAGAATGTACTTTTGCACTCCAGCTCACGTTGTCCTAATTATTTGCTATTTTGCATCACCTAAAGCTGCGCACAGGCTGAGCTGGGACATTCACCTTGCATTCGGAAGGTTTTTGATTGCTTCCAAAACTCCCATCCAACTTCCATCACAGCAACTCCCAATCCATAAGGCTTCATTTTCCTCAGAACAGCCGACTTACGCTAGTGATTAGAGCGGATGCCTGAAACATCACCTGTGGCAGAAGCCGACTTCAGGTCTCTCCAAGGCATCACCACCTGAAGTCCAAGAGGGGTGCAACAGGTTACTCACACAGCACGTGTAGCACAACCCGCAGCCCGCGCGCTCTCCCAGGGAGTGGAGCCAGAAAGCGTGCCAGCACCTTTCAGGCCCTCAGGGAAGAGTTTGGAGGCTGCAGGACTGAGAGCCCTCAGACACCTCGACATGACCGGACACCTAGCCACCGCATTACAGCCTCGGAGGTAGCGGACAACGCATGGTGCAGAGCAACATCAACGCCCCAAGCAGTTTCGCACGCAGCACTGAACTCGCTGGGAAGCTTAGTGGTAGAAATGCAATCGATGACCCATTCTGCCCCACCCGAAATCTTAAGTCACTTCAATGAAAAAGTGCATGTTTTGCTGCCCTAAATGGCCAAGGTCCTCTAGAAAGGGTGTTACTCCAAAAAATCCCAGGAGACCGAAGCTGAGAGAAGATACCTGGGACTAGTTCAGGAGTTTGTCAGATGGTTTCCAACACCGGAACCAGTTCTCCTTCACAGTCCAGTTCCTTGAAACTGTGTCTTTAGCAGCCCGAGCAGGTTTGTTGTCATCGTTTCCCTCGGCAGGGTTGCACACAGACAAGGCTGCGTTAGCATGCAGAGCACTGCTGCGCTTTGACACAGGTAATTCCTTCTTGAAAGCAACAAAAAACCAGTCATTTGTATTCCTCGATAACCCCCATTAATGCCTCCATGACCATTAGGAGGTCCAGCAAAAAGTGGTTGGTGGGAAAAAAAGGCTTCTCACAGAGATGGACAAAAAGCATCCTCCAGATGTGAATCAAGTGCAGCATAGTACTTGATCTGGGCATCTCACGTAAGCTTTTATTCATCTAGACACGCTTTAAAATGCTGTGAGACTCTCTGCAACAATTAACATGTAAAAACTCTGTCAAATCAAAGAAAAACCTTCATATTTTCATGTAATACATTTCTCGGACATTAGATGGCAATCCCCCCACTCCATTTTTCATACCAGGGGCCCATTATCTCTTCCAAAAAAAAAGGGATGTCACCTTCTTTTCAACAGGTGAGCAGGCTGCTTGGCAGGTGGGAAGCAAGGCTGTTGAGAAGGCAGAGGCTCTCCCACTACCGTGGCATTTGTTTGGCTGAAACGGTTCTCCAGTTGTGTTTTTCCTTAGATTAGGAAAGGCAGACATGCTATATCATTATGGAGGAACCCTTGGGATAGGGGGAAGATTCACTTCTTCATCGCTTGCACACCCTACGCCACGACTTGGATGTTCCCGTGCCAAAAACCCCATAGGCAGAAACAGGCGGTTACCAGATTTCCCCCCGTTTCAGCAGAGGAAGGGGGTTCGGAGAAGAAAAGGGGTTAGCGTGGCATTTAACAAGACAATTTCTAGTCTTGCCAATTAAAAAGGGCCCTCCCAAGGGATATCATTAGTCTGTGTAAATCTTTGCTGGGAATTATAAAACTGAATTTAAAAAAAAAAAGGCGGCTCATCGATACCAGTATATACACGCAACAGGAAGCACCCACCAAGTTTTGCAGTGGGAATTCTATAGATAGAATAAAAAAAAAAATAAGGCATGAAGCATTTAAACAACTTAACAGCTCAAACGAGTTCAGCCTAACACACCTGAACAAGTTAGTGCACCTGGGCTTTCAGCCTCCCACTTTCTGTCCTGGCCTCTGTGTGATGTTTTAGAGGCAGGAGTAGAATCATAGAATCACAGAGTGGTTGGGGTTGGAAGGGACCTTAAAGACCATCTAGTTCCACCCCCCCTGCCATGGGCAGGGACACCTTCCACTAGACCAGGTTGCTCAAAGCCTCATCCAGCCTGGCCTTGAACACTTCCAGGGATGGGGCGTCCACAGCTTCTCTGGGCAACCTGTGCCAGTGCCTCACCACCCTCTCCGGGAAGAACTTCTTCCTGATATCTAATCTAAATCTCCCCACTTTCAATTTAAACCCGTTACCCCTTGTCCTGTCACTACAGGCCCTTGTAAAAAGTCCCCCCCAGCTTCCTTGTAGGCCCTCGCACCTCGTCGGCCATTCAGTGATGCGCGTGGCGGGGGGAACCCTTCCCGGCCGTCATTAATTCCGTACGATCTAAACGGCAGTAGGAGACATCCTGGCATCTACCCGTTTCAACTGCGCGTGCCTGCGATTCATTCACACAAAACTCAGCCTTCCTTCCTCGGCTACATTCACCGCTAATGTAACGCTCTTTTCAGGTCAAGTTCACCCCTTTTCATACGTTCCCCCTCAGGACGGAATTTTGGCCTCACAACACTTGCCCGTTCGAGCTCTTGCATGAACCGCCAGTGGCCACGCAAGCGAGGTTTGCAGCCCTCCAGCATTCCAAAAGCACAGACAGCGTTAGTGTGAAGACGGGGGTCCACCCACCACTGGCTACTCAAAGAGCTAATTCTTCATGTACTCCACTGAAAATCTAACCTTTCATCCCCACGCTCGAGACGGTTTGTGTATGTGTGTGTCAAGGTGACAACAGTGTGAAAACACAAGTTCTCAAATGGTACATTATCTCGAATATCAAAAGGTCACAAAAGGGTACAAATCGGTAGCTCTCCAGAAGAGACACTGGTTTTTATGAAAAGTGGGTCAGTTTTAGTTTCATGTAGGTTGTTTGACACAGTGGTTTCTGGCATCACAAGCCCTGGTCTACAGGATACCACAGAGCCTTTGTATCCCTTGCTGTCACTACAGCATTGTGTTTTTCTACCCATTAAACAAGGATAAATGACCTAGATATTGTGCCTATTAAAGCCTCATTTTTCTTTTGCCCTTTTGTTCTTTAGTGTACCACATTATCACACGCTGAACACATTTTGAAGTATTCTTGGTCTCTCACGCCCCTCTGAAGGGGTAAAGTAGGGGTTTTAGTGTGCGTTTCTGCGGAGTTACTTAGAGTGGAAAACATGAAGGTAATTCAAGGTTTGTCTTCCTGCCTAGTCCCTCGAAGACGACCAGTTCAGCACTTACAGCCACTAATCTATAAAGAGTATAGCAGAAAAACGCTATTAAAAAAGCCACAGTGCAAATACAGAAAGCGAACGCCAGTTCTGACGTCCCTAAACACTGCGTTCTATAATTACATCTCTGCATATCATGGGTCACTTTTATTAAAAGCATCATTACTACAGTTGGCAGCAATTTACATCTTATCTTACATGATAGCAGTTTCCAAAGGAAAAAAAAAATAAAAAGACATCACAACAAAGAAAAACAATACATTTACAAAGTCATGTCTGTAAACTTCAAGGCTAGTTTAGAGTTGAGGTAATGCTGTTTAGCTTTGTGGCTAAAGTAACAAAGTCCTTTAATTTAAAAAAGGTACCTGATTTTTTTTTCTTTTTGTTTATACCAGTGCATTACAAGATCACGAGACGATTAAACTGTAGCTTTATCCTGTAAGAACCTTCTCCGCGGGTTAATTTCCAAAAGGTACTCTTCACATTCAACAGCTGCCTTATTATTGCTGCGTCTCAAGACAGAGACATTCACACTATCATGAAGATTGTCAGAGAGAGAGTGTGTGTGTGTGGGTGTGGGGGTGTGTGCACGCGTGCGAGCGGGTGAGCTCCCATACAGTCAAAATGAAGCGCGAGTACGATATGTATGGTAAATTTCATCTTGACCTTCACAGCAAGAAAAGAAATAAAAATTAAAAAATTAAATAACTTCATCCTTCCTTTAAGCAGCACTTCCTTCTATTAGTGCCACTTGGTAACAAATTGCTGCTTAATTCATAATACCAATGGTACCAAAAGAAAAAAAAAAAAAAGCAGAGCATTATGTCAATTTCCTTAAAAAGACATGATCACCTCTCAAATTTCATCTCTCCTAGGGATAATAAATAATGCACTGCACAATACTTAATGACCAAGATACCTTTTGACACATCTGTATAACATGACTTGAACTTTTTTTTTTCTTTTTTGCTACACTATGTTACAGAACAGCTTATAAAAACTAAGTATGGACAATAACTGTGAGTGTAAACAGTAGGACTACCACTTGTCAAAAGTTTAAAACACTTTAACTGTAACTGGTACTGGTTATTCATCATTTTCATTGTTTTCTATTTCTTCCCCCCCATCAAGTGAGTCTAATTCTTCACCCTGTGCTATTTCATCTTCTAAAACGGAGGAATCTGCAGTTTTATCAAGGCTCTCCTCTGCATCACTGCCTTCGAGGTTTTCTTCATCCTTAAAGGCAGTTCCTTCAGTTTTGTCAGTAGCCTTCTCTTCGTTGGAGCCCACTGCGTTCTGAAGTCCTGCTAGTGCTGGGAAACCGGGTAGAGTCAATCCTCCCAGTCCTGGAGGTAGAAACATAGATGGATAGAAGAGGCCAGGAGCCATGGTAGACAGCAGGAAAGGATTGAAGGCCAGAGGGTTTGTGGGCAATCCAGTGTTGGTGGTGGTAGTAGTGGTGGCGGTAGTCGCCGCAGTAGCAGCACTGACAGATCCATTCGCAGAGTCAGTAGCAGAAACAGTGTCTGTGCTTTTCTCGGAGTCTTTGTTCTCCTCTTCATTCTCATTTTTCTTCTCTTCAGCTTTTGAAGCGCCATCCTCAGTCTCTCCTTGGCCGGAAGCAGTAGTGGCATTTCCAGTAGTAGCCGTTATCGGGTTATTCAACAATCCGCTTAGTCCAAACATATTGGGCAATCCTGCCATCCCTGGCAACATCAGAGGCAACATGGCAGCCGGATTTTTAGCATCCCCCCCAGCAGCAGCAGCTGTTGCTAGCCCTGACGGGAAGCCCATGAGGCCTGCGAGCTGGAGAGACTGCAGGTTCTGCAGGTTCTGGAGGCTTGTGAGGTCCATTCCAGCAAACAGACTGTTCATTAGTAGTGGGTTGATTCCCGAAGTTGATGCTACAGCAGCAGCTGCTGCAGCTGCTTTGGCAATTTCACTTTTTGGCCTTCTTCCTCTTCTGCTTGCTCCTTCCTCCCTCACAACAGGTCCAGTGAGAAGACGGTCAAACATGGACTCCGGAACAAAACCCTGAGAAAAGGGGATGCGAAAAACAAGCTTTATTCTCGAGCAGCTTTTAGAGCTTTCGGCAGTGAACTGACGGCGATACGACAGAGGAAAGAGAAGGGATTTCAGCACGCTCCGAAGCAACTTGTTTTCCAGCCCCAGCAAATCGTGACTAGCTAGCTACTGAAGAGCACAGCAGTACAACACGCAAGAAAGAGTGAAGAAAGAGTCACAGGTTTTGTATAGTTAAACACAGCAGTAAACCAAAACATGCTGAAACTCTGTAGCTTCATTAAAAAAACCCTCTGATATACTGCAGTTAGGAATTTATAGTTTTGTACTTCGCACTGAACTTCAGAGTACTAATATCATTTTTAAAGTGTGTATTTGTAGAACTGTACCCTTTATTATCTACAATAAATAAAATAAAAATAAATAAAAAATAAAAGGCAGAAAATAAAAGGCAGAAAGTCTAATAGGTGATGCTGCCTGTTACCAAGATGACAAATCCTATTTCTGAGTATGACAGATATTTTCTCAATCATTCCTAATGTATGAATACCTGTGTTTCTTAAGGATTGTTGCTTAGAAGAAAGAAATAATGCAAAACAAAACGCTGAAGGCTGCCTTACTGGCAGAAATGCAGCAGAGTACAATCTCCTCAGCTCAAAAGCAGCTACGAGAGATAAAGACTTAATAATCAATTTACACAGCCTTCAACTTTTCCATGCTATAATCTACAGTGAGGCACGAACAAAAGTTTCACTTACAGACTGTTTAACAATGTCAGTCCAATCTGGAGCAACAGCAAATTCAGGATTTTCTTCCAACCATCTCGGCAAGTCCTTCATTGGAGGGGCCATAGCTCCACCCATCTTATGCAAAAGACAACGTTAGTCCTTAAGAAAACCCACCAAACCCAAACAACTATTTATATGAACATTTTCCATCTGTGCACTTTCATCTCTGAAGGATGGCAATAAAGACTTTCAGTTCAAATTGTGGAAAACCACATGGAAACATCTAATGATACCAGACTTGAGAAAGCCCATATTAAGGGAAAAAAAAAAACACCTAGTGAAATGCTGCAGCTTAGGCAAGGCCAGGAATGAAATCGGATAAGGATAAAAAATATGCTATATCATTTCAAAAAGCAAGACTTATTTACTCAAGTCATTAATACGTTTGTATCAGAAGAACGAAGGAGGAATTAAAGGAACTGGGTGCTACATCCCAGTAAGAGTATCTGCCAGCGCCAAATCATTAAACTTCTTCAAAGAAAGCTTGGAATAGCAAGCCTGCCTTCCACACACAAAGACATTATGACAGACCCCCACTGAATCAACTTAGATTTTACCTTCTTTCCATTTCGTTTATTTACAACAGGTACCCTTTCTTCTCCTGTCAAGGTGTTTATATCCAGTTTATTAGGGTTTCGACATCTGTGTCGTTTTTGTTTCGGCTTCTGAAATGGGGAAAACAGCACATCTGCACTCTTCTGGAAAGAAGAGAAACGTATTGCTTTTCAGTTTTTCATTTTCTTGACAAAAATCACCAATTATGAAACCTCTTCTTACAGCAGTTTTAAGAAGGGGTTAATTGCTTTACCCTCAGATCATCTCAGAAAACTCTTTTATCAGACAAATTCTGCAGACCTTGACACAAACACTGTTTTAACACCTTGTTATATACAAATACTGGGAGAGGAAAAGCAACCCATGCACTCTGGTGCCATTTGGGGGTTTAGGTATTATATTAATCGTGGCTAAAGAGAAAACCTCTACTGAAAACCAACAGGTAAGAATCCAATGACACTCTTCAACGTGAAGAAATCCGTTTTAATGCCTGTAAAACTGACTTTTGCATTATTCTAATACAACAATGATTTTAGAATCACATACTTACTGGTACATAACTTGGCATATCTACAGTGTAAGTGGGATGCAATTTAAGCCATTCAACTAAATCCTTGTTTTTAGGAGCATCCTCCCCCACCAGCCTGGTCCCATCCTCTAGATTGATTACAGGGATGCGAGTGTCTGGGTCCAGTTGACCAGGAGATGGAATGTTCCTTGCTGGTAAGGCTTCCATATCTTCCTCAAAAGCTTTGGTCACTTCTGCATCCTCCTGAAAACATTAACATCTGTATTAATTCTCACTTCAAGGGTACAATTACCTGGGAAAAATAATTTCAAGGACTGAAGCTAAATGCTCAAGGAGATTTTGCATAGGTAAGAGATAATGGGGTTTAAATATTCACACTACGTAAAGCAGTACTGTTACATTAGGGAATTTTGTACGTTTAGCAGCCTTGAACATACAGCTAAAGACAGAGCAGTTTTCATGCATTTCCAGTTAATGGCCCCCCAAGACCTTCCCCTTCCTACACTGTATGACAAGACATACTTAAGCCTCAAAATGTATATAGTTATAAATAGATTATGGTTTTAGTACAAAAAAAAAAACCAAAACCCAACCCAAAACTAAATAATCATCTTGTCTTCTTGGAAGTAAAAGTTACTTAAAACTCAGCCACAATTTGCTAGAGTGAAAACCTGATGTGAACACTATTTTGTTTGGTTCATAAAAGATATGACATCTCTCAACACGAAGAAAAACATAGGTGGGTAAAAAACTACATTACTATCAAGGAGAGTACACCACCACCTTAAACTCCCATCCAGAGAGTACTAGGCACAGAAGAACAAATAGGAGACAAAAAGGTTGCTGCTTACTACGGTCAATGATGTCCGCTTGTTGCTCATAAACAACAGATCAAGCCCTTCTACATTTTTCCTTCTTCCTCTCCTCCTCTTCATGGGCGGTTCTCCATCTATTAAAGAGCCATTTAGTAGATGCCTTGTGGGTGTGCGTGAAAGACCTGCTTGCAGCAGCTCCATTTGAGTTTTAAAGGCATCAGACACAGGTGTGGAGACATTAGGCAAGATAAATTTTGAAGTAACAGATGAAAAATTTGAGGTAGAACTTGTCGCCTCTCGTGAGGCCTTTGATAAATCTACAACCTTTTCTTGTCCATTTTCTGAGACCACCTGAGACTCACGTAACTGGGCAACCATTTCCATAAGATTTCTTCTCTTGGCAGCTCTCTCAGCCTCAATTTCAATCTTTCTTCGTCTCCTCCTTCTCTGACGTGGAACCGATAAATTGAGTGCATCTTCCTAATGAAAAATGAGCATTCCCAGATATTAGCAAAACTGTTTGCTATGCTGAACTTAAAGTAAAATACAAGATAAAATTTTAGTTGAGAGAGAGAGAGATGCAGCCTTGCCTTTGATAACTGAGGAGAAGCAGTGATATCTTCACTGCCGCTGACGCTGGCTTGACCAACCATGGAGAGCTCTGCAAAGCTCCTTTTTTGCAGTGGGCTGTCCACAGCTGTCGGAGTATACCCAGGTATGAGCCCCTGGAAATCAAACATCTGGCGCCTATTTACTGGCCACTTCCCTTTCAGCACTGCTTCACAGATGTTGTCTAATCGGTTGATCATTACTCGGTCCTGCATAAAGGAAAAGTACGTTGTCAACCTTCGGTCTGAAAGTCGCCTTTTAAACTCAAACGAGTGTAACGACACGGTCCAGCTTCCAAAGCTGAAGAGATACATTCAAAAGCAACCCTGCTCGTTGGTCAGGATAAACCAATCACTTACAAGAAGCCAACACAAGCAATTTTGTAGGATGAGGCATCGCTGGCATTTAAAACCTGCAATTTATACTGGGGGGAAGGAGGAAGACAGACCAAGGTTTCTGTACCACAATGTACCAATTGAGAAATTTAACAGAAACGTGCTATTGTTTTACGCTGCAAAACTTCAGCAGTTAGCAAAATCAACAGTTAGAAAGGGAAAACCGAAACATCTGCAATCAGTATCTTAAAGCCGCGGTTCTCCAGATGCAAGAGGCTGGATCTGCAATTCTGTCCTAGGAAGTGGATCCTCATTAGCGTCACTATTAATAAAGTTCAACATTATGAAACGGGCACCAACCTAGGGACATCTAATGAATGTCAATTTTCATTCCACGCCCATTATCACTTCAAATTTCACTGAAGCGTGTACACTAAGAATCTCTAATTATGTTTATTAGTCTACTTATGCTGAACCTATACAGATGAAGGATTTTTTGTTTTACTTTTACACTATGACTGGAATAAGATTTTAGTCCATGTTTCCAAAATACCTGCTGAAAGCAAAGAACATGAGTATCATTTGATTTTTCCCATTTCAGTATTGAAAAGCACATTCTACACTAGCCTGCACGAAGAAGTAGAAACTTCAGAACTATGAGAAATACTGCTGGTTAGGGAATATGGGCATCAGCTAGCTTCCTGAACAGCAAAACAGTGCAAAAGCCACTAGCAAATCTCAGCAGCTGCAACAGACTGCTTGCTTTCCCCAGGAATAAGCCTATTACGAACAAGGTCCTCCCACTCTGCCCCCCCTGTCCCAAACCAGATGGCCCTGTTATGGTGATTAGTAAGCTTAAGACTATTACTACTTTATTTCTCTTTCTATCCTTACTGCAAAGGGAGTACCAAATTATGTATGCATTTATTACGAGGTTATGTTTTCATATGTTTAAAAACATTTTATATTAGATAATTTTCTGCACTGTTACAAAAATAAGATACAGCTTTATCCTATCTAAAACTGCTGCTTATGTTTGCAGGATACCTTAATACAATTACATCTGTCAACATTACGTAATGGCTTAGATCATGTAGGTCACCAATACTCTTCTCTACAGTCTCCTCACCCCAAAATAAAAAGGTGATCTTACAAAATCTCTCAACACTGCAGATTGCTCTACAGATGAAATCCATAACTCAAAATCACGTTTGCTTCCATCAGTACTGGTGCAAGAGGTGTGATTCTGCTGACATACAGTTAGGAGCCCATGAGGAACTCATGCCTATCAGTAGTTTGGTTTTCTGCTAAATGACACCATTTACAGTAAAGCAATTCCTTTCATTTCCTCTGCTAATTTGTAAAAAATCTAGGAATAAAATGCTAGTCCACCAATCATTCACAGAAAAGAGTCCCTTGCCTACATGAAGCGCAGGATCATACAAAGATCGCCCTTATTTTGCAAACACAATCCTGCATTTTATCCGTATTGAAAGACACAGATGCCACTCAACCCCAACCAACCTTAGGCCAGAAAGAGAAGGCAAACGTTCTCTCGTGAAGCAGCTGAACCACAGAGGGATCCCCATCTTCCATGTAGAATCCATCACGTGTTTCATCCCTTGCGGTACTCATGGAGGCATTGCTTTCTTCATCAAAATTCTTACCCTGAGAAACTGCACAGGCATTAACTAGGGAAGTTCCCAATCACCCAGTGTCACTCTAACTAGATTGGTTAAGAAAACCAGGCTTGACACAACATTTCTCACTCAGGCTTTTGTTCAGCCATTGCTACAGGGGAGCCTTAGCCTTCTGCACTTGGCACAGAGACCGTGCTTACTGGCTCAGTGAGCTATCCTGGAAATCATCCCTTGTGGGGGAATACCCCGCTGACGCTGGGTGGTTTTTATGAAAGCTTATCTAGCCACCTGATACTCGGAAAGGCAGAGGAACTGCTACATGTAGCCCATCCCAAGTTCCATAATGGCTCCGTGTGTGCCACTTACCAGCTGGCACAAGTCACAACAGCTGTGGGGCTAAGCACACAGAACTGGTCTGACCAACGCTTTACCTTCAGGCTGGGAGGATTCCTCCGATTTATCATCATCATCCAGCTTCTCCTCTTCATCTTCTTCTGAACCTTTCTCAGAAATAGATTTTGGGTCTACGTCTGTACTCATTTCTATATCTTTCAATTCACATTTAACAGAGCCAGGCTCAGCCTCAGCATCACAGTCTGGTTTAGTGTCCTTATCTGCATTATCCGTCTCCTCTTTGACATCAGACTTTTCTTTGGCCGCTGGATTTTCAGACCCTTCGGCTTTAGACTCCGTTTGTTCTGTTGTCTTTTCTTCTTGTACTGGTGTGGAAGGGACAATAGGCGGTGTTTGACTGCAGCCAGCACCCATAGGGTGTACAGAAGAGACAGCGTTTGCATTACCTGTCCCTCTGTTTTGAGCAAAGTTTTTGTGAGCCTCAAGAAAAGAGAGTTCAGGATCATTCAGAATGTGATAATCTGTCCTACTGACTCCATGTTTAGCAGCACCAATCAATAAGTCTTTGTCATGTTTACCACACTCCCACCACTCTGGCAGGTCCAAGCTCGGTTGGCAGAGCTTTAGCCTCTCCCCCAGCTGCGGGTGATGAAGAACCTGTTCACGGATTTTCCGCAACAGCTCTATGCGATATAAAGTTCTAGAAGCACGCTCTTCTGTGATCGGCTCAATCAGAGTGGAAAGATCAGGCGGTTCTGCAACGACACCAATTTGTGGTGTTTTACATTGATTAAATGTACACTCGTTTCAAAACCATTACACCTGGGCACGAAGTTTCGACAGCCCCACTGTCTCAGTGTTGATTTTTACAGTCGGTTAAAACTTACCATCATCTGGTTTGACGGGCATCCGGCACACTCGTCTACACATATTCACAAAGCCGTTAAAATACTTCTCCAAACTTTCATCGGACTTTTTATCAAGCCTGGCAAATGCTCTGAATTGATTCCAGTCAAACTGATGTTTTACAGGATCGAAAATGATTCCAAAAGTAGACACCACACGATAAAAATCAGCTTCTTCTCTTCTTGTCCACCTAGTCACGGAAGAAGCAAGATAGTGAGGCCACAGAATAGGAGTCCAAACATCGTTTGGATGCCCCAAAACCCCCAGTAAGCTTAAAAAAAAGCAGTACTGGTGACAGAAGCTCAAACGAGGTTTAAGGAAAGACATCACTGAGAAACTCACTTTTGTCGTTTTTCAGTTATTATAGCTTCCCTTTCTGCTTCCAGTGCCCTCACTTCTTCCCGAGGCCGTCGTCTCCTGCGGTCAGTCTTCATTAGTGCCTCTTGCCTCATTTGTTGCCTTTTATAGCTGCGCTGATAGGCAGTAATGAGGCGACGCAGACGGGTAGTCAGGGTTGAAGTGTTGGGCCAGTAGAGTTGGCCTAACTCAGCGTTGCTTTCACTGTGCTTGTCTAGAGAATAGAGAAGTATTTGTGTGCTGCAAAACCACCACTCAACATTTCAAAGTTTCTACGGCTAGAACTGGATTCCTGTGTTATCAGATAAGAACACATGCCTCATTAATACTGGTGCATAACAAATTAGAAAGAAGATAACTACACTGGTAGAAAATAAAAAATAGAATCAAACCAGCCAACTCTGAGAACTCAGGCCTGTGAAGCGTTTAGAGATAACCATCAAGCATTATTATTCGATGTTATGAATGCAAACATATTATGAATACCCCAAGTATTTAAATTAATGCAATGCATCTTTAAATATATTACTAAGATGATCATTCTGCCTCTGAGGAAACACCTATGCTTGCGCTTCCCCACTTTATTATTCTCACTTAAACTTGGCAATTTTCCTCCATACTGAGGAAACAACGTATCTCTAACTTCTAAGATTATCTCGGCAAACACATCAACAGCTGCATTATGAAACATCCGGCCTTTATCATCACAATTTCTACTATGTAATTAGAAACCCAGAAAGCCATGATGTGGATTATTCAAAGACAGTAAATAAGTGTTTTGAAAGACGTGAAGCATGAAAAGACTCGGCAGTAAAAAGTTTACTGCGGTGTTCTCCCAAAACACAACCTATCCCCTCACGCGGTAATATAAACAGTCCACCTTTCACTACATGGTCCATTCTTGCCTTTTAATCTCTTTGCTATAGTCTTACTTGGGTGTATTTCTATGGACTCCTCTTTGTCTTCTGGAGGCGAGTTGGCAAATTCCTTGGAGAGAAGACAGAAGCTATTTTAGTTTTCAGTTTTGGCCATATGTTATCATTACAGGAGAAAAATGTGTCATCTCTCAAAGACAGCAGCAAACAATCTCTGTAAGGTGTGTTTATCTGGTAGCTCTCAAACTGAAGAACTGCACATTAAGATAAGCATGGAGAATCAGTTATAATTATATGTATTTGTAATTACAGAAAGTTGAAGCTCTTACATCAATTTCATCCTTGAAAGGAGTTCTGGTTGGCTTGTATTCCGGATCTTCATCCTCTCTATCAAATTCACCCCTGTAAAATATTTAAAAGAAATATTTTCAAGAAATACATTGATTTTGAGAGGGGGCTGATTTTCTGGATGAAAGCAAAAAAGCTACAAAAGCCAAGGATATGGTGTACAAAGTTACACATTTATATTTTCCGCTCAACTGTGTAAACAATTCTATGTACTTTTTACATCATACGATCACTTCAGATCCTCAGGCGAGATGGAAGCAGACTATGACATATGAACTCATGCCAACATATACAATGCTGATAAAGTTTATTAATTTTTTCATGTCCTCCTTACCCATCACCGCCATCTGCTAACATGTCTGTCCCTCTCTGTTCAGCAGCTATGGCCTTTGCATCAGGCATGCCAACCCGTTCCAGAAAGCACAGTGCTGGATCAGCTCTCATAGAATTGTACTTCTCATAACCTACATGCAGAGCGAAAGACAATTTTATTTAAAAAAAAAAAAAAAAAAAAAAAAAGCTATGACCAACTGTGAATAGAATAGGCTTAGGCAGCACAATTTTCAGGATTAATTTATTTATTTTTAAATAAAACAAAGGAGCTGTCACCATGCTGGAACAATCATTTAATTCACGTAACGAAATTTTTCATATTGGTAAATTCCATCAGCACAGAAACATTTTCACATCGATAACGTTAGCAAACAGCAGATACTGAAAAAAAAGTCTTCAATTTAATGTCTTTATAAGGTAAAGAAAAAAATCTTTCAAAAGTGAATAAACTTCTTTAAGTTGCCTATATGACTTTCTCAGTGGCTCTCCACATTCAACACTCCCTATTGGAAACGTGCAGATGTGAATGGAAACACACACACACACACACGTGCATTTTCTATAGCTCCAGCCCTGCTGGAACCCTCAGCGCAGGCTGCAAAAATGCTGTATACACGGGTTATACGTAAGGCCAACGAACCTGTCTTATTAGGTTTAGGATGATGCATGTCAGTAAGATGACACTGTTCCCTCTATGGTTTTCAAACTGCTGTTTGCTTTTTTACTGCCCAAGTTGACTAGATGGAAAATGGCAGATCCCAACAGTGCACTGCAGGAAAATGATTTTTAGACTAGACTTGCCTCAGCTGAGCCCACAAAACAGAGCTGCTGTACATAGGCAGAACAGCACAATTCAATTAGGATTTGTACTACAACACACTGCTCCTAACTGCTGTAGAGCCTCAAGCCAAACTGTAATCATGAAAGGTTTTATAAGCCATCATTCTCCCCTTTAGTCAGGCTGGGCTGCTGAGAATACCTCTGCGACCTCCAGAGAATTGGGATTATAATCAGGAATCGCTCACTGTATATATCATGCCAGCTCTGCATCCCCAGCCTTTCAAAGTTAACAAGGCTGCATCCCACTCAAGGGAGCCGGGAGTTCTCAACACTGACATTTGTGAAATATTGCTTGGAACAAAGCCCAGGAGGCACTTGTACAGATTAATAGCAGAGGTTAAGCCCACCGTCCACTTTGACACTGGTTGGCAGAGTTAGCAAGTGAAGCAGTGCTGGAAGCAAAGTTTATGGAGATCTATCTTACTATTTGGCTATTATTTAAACAAATATGGGTTTGTTTTATTTACAGCCAAGAAAGTAATGTTTTCTTCTCAAATGTTCTGCAAACATTTAAAAACAGCATCTGATATTTACAGCTCATATTAGGTTTTTAATGCAGGCAAGAAAAAAAAGGGAGACACAAGCCAACAGTTCTTTGGAACAATACTTGTTAATATTATGACTGAACAGTCCTACACACTGAAAGCTTTACAACTGAGTTTTGTTCAGAGTGAGACATCACTTACCATGTTTGAATACTCCAATTAAAAGGGATTTATCCGCCTCTTTATCCCACCAGTCTGCAGGAACTTCGGCATGGAATGGCTCAGGTATCCATATATCTACTTCACTGTGAAGACAGCATTACATATGTTCTCTCAAAGGTACTACTGGACAAAGATTTTTTTTTTTTTTTTAAAGAAGTGGTTCACATTGTTTTCTAAATATGAATTTTGAAAGGGAGTGGGGGGAGAAGCGCACCCCCCACCCCAAAATTGAGATACCTTGAAAAATAACTATGATGGTTAAAAAAAGCCACAACCAAAAACAAAAATTCCCCAAAACAGGGGGGAAGAAAAAAAAAACAACAAAAAACCAAAAAACACACCACCACAAAAACCCAAAACACAGAAAACACCACAAAAAACCCCACACCAAAACCCTGTAACATTAGGCTATTTTGGGAGTGGAATGCCAATGGTTATCCAAACAGGATTAATTTCAGGTTTTAGTCTATTTTTAATTGTTTTTAAAACTGAGATAGAATAATCCTTCAATATTAGAACTGAAAATCCACTCCTGTCATTCCTCGCATCATTTCCTCCCCCAAGAAAATTAGCCACTGCGGTTGATAAAACAGTAAGGCTGCTTGAGAACAGACATTTGAGAGAGGAAGCGTGGCAACCTTTATTATTATCATAGTACGTATTATCATAGTACGTGCACTTAATAAAAGCCAGTGCCACAAAGCAAAAAATAAACCTGCACTTGCACTAACCTTGAGTCAGCACCCTCTAAGATCTTGTCTGCTTGGTCCCCTATAACTTCTTGTCGTAGATAGTAGAGCATGCGGACACGCAGCAGGACCCTGGAGAGGAAGGCAGAGGGGGGAAAAAGTTCTTAACTTCAGGACTGTTTGCCAACAGTGGCTTTTGGCAGCTGCTGCTGTTCATCCATCATCCTGCCAAGGCTGATTAGCCATGCTGTATGGTAGGCTTGAAGCGTGACAGATGGTGGCACATAATCACCTCTGTGTGGTGCTTTCTGCTGGCTTCCAACAGGCCTGCCTGGCAACCGCTTACACTGCGCAGAGAGGGACCCGGCTCAGCCCGGCCCCGGCGCATTTCATTTAGTTCTACCTAGCGCAGCTTGTGAAGTTTAGACACGTACTCTACCACTGCCTCTGAAGTATTGAAGCAAGTTTGTAAACAACTGAGCAGATGGCTTTCAGTAACTGTTCTGCTTCATTATCTCATAAAATTTCCTCAGCTGCTGCCTTAATACCATTTTTGGAAGCACATCAGAAGTTGTAGGAATAAACGAGATATAAAATCTGGTTTTACTACCTTACAATAAACCCTCAATATGGAATGTCAGGTTTTTCAGATTATACAACTTTTTGCTTCTGAGAATGGGAGGTGGGGGGTGGGAAAAATAATCCCCTGTTTCCCTTGAGAGATATTAACTATTTTTACTCTTTATAGTTCAAACTGCCATTTAGTTTTACCTGTGCACAACCTAACTGCTACAAGGAAGTGAAAAATCTTCATTGCCCGTGTTTATTTTCCCCCATCACTGCAATACTACAGCCGTTTTTGGAAGCGCTGTCAGGTGTCGTGGTCACACTTGAAGCTGGCAGGAGAGAGAATGGCAGACTGGCTTTTCAAGGAGACTAGAAAAGAGGTCATCTCTGTAGAAAAAATATCTACCTGAAAATAATCCTGCTCTCCTCCTATGTTTACCCAATTCAGGGCACCCCCTGCTGCCTAGTTCATGAAGCAGAATCAGTACCAGCTAAACTGGAGATTATTCAGCCTGCCCTCTCACTGTACCCAAATCCATCACGGCAACTGTTGAATTGCTGCTGCCCCTGGAACAGCAAGGGTGACCAGGGAGGCAGTAATCTGATCACCCACTTGCATGAAAAATTTAGACCACCACCAGTTTTGAGAGCTCCTCATTAGAGACCTGGTGCAACCAGAGCAACACCCGGTTTTACACGTTATTCAAGCAAACCTCGGATAAGCAGGGAATTGAGTGAAGGTCATGTCTGCAATTCAAAACATGTCAGACATGCTTCTTTTTTTAAGCATGATAACTGGGACCACTAAGGTGTCCCTGCTCCTTGTGTGGCTATGTAAATAAGCCATTGAGGGTCTCTATCACCTTAGTATTAAGCAGTAAGAGCTGTTACATCAAGCCAAAGAAAAGGAACAGGAAAAAAAAAACAACCCCAACATCAACCAAGAAACAGAGGACTTATGTACCTTTCCGGAGTCCTAATCAAAAAACAGAGCATCTTTGCACCTTTTACATAAGGACAGGACACCAGTTCTTACCAACTCAGTTACTACTGCTACCTCTGAAGGAAATTACTCAGACTATCAATTGGCTTCTACCTCTGTTTGATTTTACCTGGGCTAAACATGTTGCTTCTACAATTCACTTAGTCCTGGTGGATCTAGGAAGTGAAGGAAAGGGATAGCAACTGAAAAAATTCTTGCACAGCGATTTATCAGTCTTCCTGATCCTCTTAATTGTTCTAGTGCATTATTACTCTATTTTAAAATGAGTTAGTCTGATCTGCAAACTGATCTAACAAGGAACGAGGACATGTTACCCGAGAGATTAAAATAATGTTACAGGAAAGAATTTGATTACTTTGAGAGCAACTGAAATCTAATAACAGATTTGAGTAACAGTTTGGGGAAAAAAAAAAATCAGAAATCAGTTTGTTTGGTTGCACAGTTGCTAACATAATTCTGTAAGTATCTGTTTCCATCAGCTGAGAATTAAGCTTGGTTAGCATCTGGAAACAAGGTAACAAACCCCCTAAATGCCCTTCCTCCTTCACATCACACCCCCTGTTGACAGGCCACAGGTACTTTTCAAATCAAATTATTGATTTCCAATAAGCAGTATTAGTAAGACAAATATATTAAAAAACGCAAAGTAACAATGACCTTTCAGTAACACTGCATCCCTATGGCATATATAGGATGAAGAGTGTAATTTTAAAAACCAGAACAAAACACACACCCCTCCCCACCCTCAAACGAAAAAGCAAACAACCTCCACCAAACCCCAAACCAAGATATTTTTGGAACACGAGTTAAGTTCAGTGTCTGCAAATGAAGGCTACAGTAAGCAAAACTGAGATGAAGAACCAGGACGCTGTGGAAAGAAGATGACACAAAAATAGCTAACATATTACAAACCATAAGCTAAAAGAATGTAAGAGGGGCTTCTAAGAGACATTCATGCAACAATAAAACCTAGTAACATGCAAACCAAAATACAACGACCTTTATCCCCAAAGGCTTTAAAACACGTTTAGTCACGTGTTTAGAATTACAAAAATCAAATCAGGGCATTAATTCAGGTGAGACAGTTTGGTGAGAAATTTTACCTCAAACAAAAGAGAAAAGAAGAAATATTGTGAATGATGCAGAGAACAAAAGAGGAAGGGAGAAAAGAAACTAAGAGATACACCCACGCAGAGGTGAACTTCTACACAAAACTAAGAACTGGGTACTTGAGTTTAACAGCTAAGGAACAGAACTCCTAAGGACATCTGCCTGAGAGACCCCACAAGAAGGGTAAGAGACAAATAGCTTTTGTTTAAAGACAGCCAATCTTTAAGAGAGAAATAAACTTAGTGTAGGGATATAGCCTTTCCTTTATATGGTAAAAAGAATAACCTCATCTGATTCCATTCTTACTTAGTAAGTAGAAAACAATTTTCTTCAGAACTGTGATTTAAGCTCAGGTCAGTCATAAAAAGACTACAGCCTTATCCAGATATCTGTTAAGATGATTATCCCCACATTAAAAAGTAATAATGGTCCAGTGTTTTATTAAAAACATCCTAAGTAAGTTGTGGACTTCTCAAAAGCATAGAGTAAATTTAAAAAAAAAAAAAAAACAACCAAACAAAACAAAACACACACACTTCTAAATAAATATTTATTAATACTTACTTATTACAGTGATGTTTGAGATGCTTCCTATAGCTATCTTCTTGAAATAATACATCTGGATTACAGGTTGTGAGCCAATCGGCATCTTGCAGCACTGGCTGTGAACTCTGGGCTTTTACCTTCTTGCCTTTCCTCCCTCTAGGCACCGGTGCAGACAGACCTACATAAAACCCCAATATTTCTCATGCAATCCATATAGAAAAGCTCTCCCCTCAAACCGCATTCCAAGCATACATTTAAAGCTAAGAATCACTGCTGTGTTAAGTCCTTTGTGGGCAATACCAAGAGCAAAAACTGAACAGCAACGTAATTCAGCACAGAAAATTGCAAATAACAAAATCAAACAAAACTTTCATGCAAATTTAGGCGTGAAGATTTCAAAAATTCAGAGCGTTAGCCAGAAAATGGTGTTATATAAATATTTCTTGTAAAAACTCTCATGAATTTGAATGGCCATAAGGAAACAAGCTCTCTGATTTACTGCAATCTGAAAGAGATTAACACCAGCAGTAGCTGCCACTTAAAAATTATGACAAATATTTGTTCAAAACTGATTTAAGGGAAAAAGCACTGCATCCTACAAAGTGTCTGAAGGAGGCTTCCCCTTTAAGTACAGAGCAAGTCACAGCCCACCTTACTCATAAAATCTGACAAGATCCTACGACTTGTCAGAATGGCTGTGGTTTAAACCAAGTACATAGCATGACTGAAGCAATTCTTTCCTATTTACTAGCATCGTTATTTGATTGTGGTAGACATACCGGAATGATTAACCAAAGCTCGAGTTTGCCCATCTGCAGTTGGAGTGATCAGATCCCAGATGAAACTTTTGATATTTTCATCCCCTTTGTAATGATTTAGACAATATACCAGGATAGTCCGGCAGATGGTTTCCACATCTTGTTCTGTGAGCTGACGTTTATAGCGCCCATGCGAGAGGATGTCAGTCCACCGACCCCAGCTATAAGAAAAATATGTTCAATACAACAGCCAGGGTACTGCTATTTTAATTTGTGACTTTCAATTTAACTCCTGGTACCAAGCAAGTTGGGACCTCCTGTGTTAGCACTAATGCGTTTTGCATTTGCAGATTACATCAGGGAATCCAACCTCCAGCACCAAAGAGTTAAGAATGTTTATTTTACAGAACAGGCAGTAAGTTCACTGCTCGTAAAGCTGCACTTGAACTACACTCAAAATAATAAAGTACATATGTTTAACTCTAACGGTCTCAGTAAGCTACAAATTGGAAATTCAACCAACAGCTCCTACAATCTTGGGATTTGGGGAATCATTCTTATTTTGATCCTGAAATCCTTTGTTAGCAGTTGTTGTACGCACTTCCCAAACCAAAAGACAGTCATTATGAAGCCCGCCTCATTATCAGTCAAATATAGCTACCTGCTTGCAAAGAGATAAAATTCAAATTGGTAAATCCAGTGAGGAAAAATATAAAGTGGCAAGTAGCTAAATTTAAAGTGGTGCCAAAATACCAGAATCTATGTTTAAAACCTCTAGATTGACTGCTGATTTCACAACCAGATTGTTCTTTACAAATGCACATTGTTTTTCTCCACTACACTTAGAAAAGAGATTAAACCTCTACAACTCAGGAACTCTTTACACTATGAGAAGCCAGAAACAAATACTGCATCACCACAAAACTACGTATCTTACCAGTGAGCTCATAGCCATCTACGAGACACACAGACTTTAAGCTAAATAACACCTATATAAGCAACTTATACATATAGCAACTTAAAATCTCACTGGCACATATACAGCTCAATAAGGTAAAAGTTACACAATAAGAGATTACATTAATGTGTCCAAGAGAAGAATGTTATTTACGACGTATCACATTTCCATATTTTCAGGTCTTCAGCCACAATCAGCATATTTAAACTGTATGTTCTTACCCATAAACCAACAAGTTCTTCTCCACTCTGAAACATTCACTTCTTGCATACCCCTGCGATTTGTCCTGAGGCCTACGGGGCTTTGTGCTAGGCTTTTCTTCAGAATCACTTTCCAAGTCTGAAAACTCCATCAGTTCATCCTCTTTGACTGCACTGTAGAGTCTGGTTTGCTTTCTTACTCTTGGTGTATCAATAACTAGGTTATTCTAAAATAAAAGTGAAAAATGTAGAAATTGAGGAGGGAGGGAAAAATCTTCAATTTATTTGTGCTAGGAACTATTGTAAAGTTCTTACCCTTCCATTTAAAGCATCGATATCCAGCTCCGCTTTCTTTGCCCACTTCTGCCAAAAATTAGGGTCATCCAAGGAAATGTCTGTCCTGTTCCCAGATGCAACAAAACTAGCCTAGTAAATGTGAAAACACATGCATTGGTTTCTCAGCCGCATGCTACAAAGAAAATCTGTTTTCACTGGTAAATGCAACACTTAGGACTTACACAGTGGTAGTTTCAAGAAAGAAAAAAGTAAGCCTGGAAACACAGATAACCCAACATTTGTGAAGAAAGCATCCGAGAAAAGTACATTGAAAACATAATTGACACAGAAGGCAATTTAATACTACTTCTGTCTATCCTGGTCACATCTTCCTAACCTTCCTCTGAATGTCAATGCACACCTTTGCAAATGTTGAGCCTTTTCCTTCAGATTCAATAGTAATTGTGTGTGTCCGCCTTAAGAGAATCTGGTCAATATCCTCTTCACAAAACTTAGACCCTTCGTCTTCCTCATCCATCAGAGCACCATATGCCCCCTTTCGAAGAAGATCTTCTATTTCTTTCTTAGAAAGCTGTTGCACCTGTAACATAAGAGAGGGTTTTGGGTTTGTTTTTTTTTTTTGACAACAGCCAACATGCACACCTGACAGCATAATCACACTGAGTGCCCTCTTATTTAGCATTTTAAGAACTGAAACTCTAAGATGTGGTGTCGGTCAATTAAACATTCATGCTGAAGTCACCTTTAAAAGAAGAATACGAACAACGAAATTCTGAGGGTGAGGTTACGTGAGTGGTTTAAACAGTTTAATAATTCATTGTCACTGAATCCCTTTACTTTAGCTCTGATGACTGCTCACAACTCCCCTGGGAGCAGATTTAACTTACTAACCTGACACAAAGCTAAAGCAAAAAAAAAAAAAAAAAACCAAAACCAAAACACACACACGAGTCCAAAGCAAAAAGGCCACACCAGAAAAATCTGAATAGAAGAACTCCAAAAGGTGCCAGGATCAACATAATATCAAGGGTGGAATGACGAGAATCAATGTGGATTGAGGGAACATGACTCCACCTGCCCCCTTTTGGCAATAACTGAGCCATTAGATAGGCTGAGCCAGTTAACACAGCCTTGGCCTTAATTAACCCTGCTTTAAAATGTATGCCATACTCCATCTGAAAACCACCGTCCTACAGCTAAAACGTAAACAAGCAAAGAAAGTGTTACACATTCATAGCATTTGTTGATCATGCACCTTAGTATATTAATTCTCACCCCATTTGTAGCGTTCTCTCTTCCGCTCATAGACTGTAGCACAGCCTTATCAAGGCCAAGCTTCAAGCTAGCTTTGTCAAACATTTCCCTTTCGTAAGAATTTCTTGTTATCAACCTGTAAATTTTCACTGATTTGCTCTGTCCTATTCTGTGACATCGTGCTTGAGCCTGACAAAACAAAGACAGACACTCAGTTACAGGTGGCGAAAGAAAGAAATTTAAAATAATCAATACAGGGAACTTGCTTTAAAAGTTACTGCTTTCAATATAAATAATAACCTTTACGCTTTTAAGAGAGGGACAATAGATAATTTCTCTCGAGGGTGAAGAAAATTCCACAGCAAAAAGGCAAAGAAAAATTTTCAATAAAATAATCTCCTGCAATATTACCTGGAGGTCATTTTGGGGGTTCCAGTCTGAATCAAAAATGATGCAGGTATCAGCAGCAGTAAGATTAATGCCCAGACCTCCTGCCCTTGTACACAGCAGGAAAACAAACCTATCAGAATCAGGTCTTGAAAACCTGTCAATAGCTGCCTGACGCAAGTTGCCTCTTACTCGGCCATCGATTCGTTCATAGGGGTACCTGAAATAAAGATGCATTAGGAGGAGAACTTTACTGCAATGGCATTGTTTCTTTGTGAGAATAAGCAATTAAAAAAATAATTAAAAAGGAAAATATGCTACTATAGAGTCAAAGGAACTACAGCAAACTAAGTGACCGCTCCTGTATTCACCGATTTCATCAGTGGAAGACACTACTTTCCTCCTGCTCTGCGCATTTTGGCAAAGAACAGACTTCCACTCCGAGGAACGAAATAAACATTCAGGCTTACACTGAAAAACTCTAGAGCCACCAAAACATTTAACCGAGTAGTAAACGAAGAGGTTTAAAGCTCTCCACGTGAGGTCATTTTGTATTCACCCCGAAGAAAAATCTCCGTACTCGCAACTTACAGGTATGCTATTCCCTTTAGTAAGATCGCTACAGAAAACACTGTAAAGTGTTTGAATTTCATCCCTTTTCAATACGGATTACTCACAGGTTAAACACTGTGGCCGCTGAGGAAAGCACAGTTTATTTAGAATTGTATTATATTGTTGCTCTCACCGTCTTTGAATGAGGTAGTCTTCCAGTATGTCCAAGCAGCGCACCATCTGGGAAAAGATAAGCACCCTGTGGCCACCAGCCTTCAGTTTTGGCAGCAGCTTGTCAATCAGTACTAGCTTGCCAGCAGCCTGGATCATTGCCTGGAGCTGAAAATCTGGAGAGTCGGCATTGTGTGTTTCTTTAAACTCTTCCAAAATTTTCTCTTCAGCACCTGCAAAGATTGGACAGCAATACATGAACGCTGCAAAGGGGTTTGGTGATGAACACTGAGCTCGCCTGCAATGCCCCGTAGAAACCGCAGGAATGTTTTAAGCACTATGAGAATAAACATTTATCAAAAATATTAAGCTTAAATTTGAAGCAAACACATAATACAGCATAAAGAAAGAGTAACTGTGAGCATTCGTTGTTGGGAGTTTTTTTCCCTTCTTCTGAACAGGATTAAACCCTTTCCTACATAAATTCACACAACTATTCGACACATACAATTTAATGAAAAAATGAGGAAAAAGAGATGGAAAAATGAACCAGGTTCCAACTGATCAAATGAATTTTCTGGGCTTTTTTAAATGCAAGAGGAAAGGAACAAGATCTCTCGCTTTCCATAGGAAAATACAAGGAATACAAATCACATCTGATGTCTCTGCCTCCAAAACCAAAGCCAGCCTTAAACACTTGCATGACCTGGACCTGCTGCTCCCATTATTTATTATAGAATCAAAATCCACACGATGAAAAAAATAATTGGTGGGGGGAAGAATAAGCAGCTGTGAAATTATTATTTTACCTTCTATTTAGCTTTTTTCCCCCTCACTGAATGTATGTTTTTGTTCAGTTTGATGAAGCTATCCAGTGTATATATTCTTTCCAGAATTAGTCAAAGGTTCTTTCTCGCCACTCCCTTTGCCTACGAACGACACGCACAGCAACAAATATTTCCTTGTATTGCTCATTACCTGAATACCAAGTTCAAGTTTTCTCTTCAACTTCGCCTGTGCTTTTATTCCATCATTTATGTCACTTCTACAAACAGCAGTATTCCAAGAATTATCAGATTACTATTCTTGGCTATGTAAAATGTTAGGAATCTTTATTCTAAGCGTATTTCATATCCAAATAAACCCTTTTTGGGAGCCATCTTTTTCAGTCCCTCTGAGGTTTTTTGTGGGTGGTGGGTTTGGGGATGGTGTTTTTGGTTTTGGGTGGGTTCGGTTTTATTTTTGGTGGCTGTTTTGTTTTGTTTTTTAAACAAAATGGAGTTTATAAATTATTTCTGGTTTGTATAATATTCAGCTTCAATACTACTTTTGAGTAAGACAAGGAAAGGCGTGAGGGTTGGAGGAGATGGAAGAACAGCTTACTGCCAGGTTTCTGCTGAGCATCCCTCTCCTATCTCGCTTCTAAGTAGATTCCTGTAAACAAACATGCACATGCAGCCTCTGTGTGATGGCTGGTTCAGTGCCTACTGTAATGTGGTGTCTTTAACAGATACTACCCTAAGCAGGCTGTCTGACAGCGTCCTATTACTCAATAAATACACTCGCACTAGCAGCTTTTACAGAATTTAATGAACTCAAGATGTGACCACACTTGAAGGTAGTTTTACATCCCTGAGTTTTCCTTATCTGGATTCTGTACTCCAAGCATTACTGATCCTAATGGTTTGCACATAAGAAAAATAAACCCATGTGAAAATGGCACAATCGGACACTTCAAGATCACTTCAATCACATCATTTCCCATCTTGTAAAATGGGAAAAATTCAGGTACTAAGTCTCAGATTCTGTACTGAGCTTAGGCAATTTCAGGATATAGTAGGCTGTCAAGTAGTTCATATACAGTAACTTCAGTGATCTTTCCTGGTAACATCATTTATTTCTTACTCAACTGGGATATCCAAATTTAAGTTTCACTATTATGAAGTAAACCAATCTGCAAACTCAGCATCTGCTAAAGCAAACCACCTCAGCCAAGCTCATCACAACAAATCCACAAAGGTCTAACGAACAGTGAATTTCCAGTACCAGAGATTGATCTCACAGCAAGACCCGCTTCCATACCAGACCATGACCTCTAAAAATCCGCTCTGTCACTAAACCTATCCTAGCTAAACCCTGTAAAAGACTGCTCTGTTTCATTTCTATTTCAATTGCAATTAAGTGATAAATACTGAGTAGCCTGTTACCCAAAAGTTACTTGTTCATTTGTAACACCTACCCTATCCCAGTTGATTTTAGTAGGGATGAAAGGAAGGTATTTGAATATGTGCTTGGTCCATCAAGGAAACCCTCACTTCCACTACTAATTAGAACAGGCTTCTAGGGCTCAAGAGGGCATAAGGAACAGAGTAAGAAACCTTTGAAATGTTCGACACCATAGGATGTGTAAGTAGAGAGGCACTCCCCACTGCTGGCTCTTGGAGACAGAAAAAAAGGAATGATGTATAAATACTTGAGGGTGGTTGCTAAGTCCAGTTTTAAGAAAAATGACAGACAACGCTTTGCCCCACTTGGTTGGAGAATACACAAAATACAGTCATTCCCTCTGAAAGTCTACTCAAAGATAGTTTCAGCAGACCAGCATTCTCCCCTCCACAGAAGAGATCTATCAATCAAGAAACAAACAAAAAACCCACTTCACATTCAACACCTGCCATACTACTTCCATCACATAGCCTTCTATGACTCTTCACTGAAGGTTATCTGCAAGACTTGCTTGCATCTTTTATGCAAAAACAAAACACAGTGTTCTACTTGGATATGCAAATACACATGCAGTACTGCTTGCTCACAAAACCTGCAAACATGGAAGAAAACGAGGATGATTCAGAGGCACGTTCATAAAAGCAGTTACATCTCGAGAACTTGCTACTGCAACAAATCATTCATGGGGAGAACACTACGCAACGTTACTGCGGTTACTAGTACTGCAAGACCCCTCGGTACAGCTACAATAAACTTGTGCCACCACTCTCAGTACAACGATGTTAATTATCGATCAACAAAACAAAACTTCACGCTCAGACAACTACAGGACGAAAGAATATTTTCTCTCCAAGAACTACATAGGACATATTTGTTTAGATCCACTCTCCACACTAATAATAGTCAGGATTTATTTAGTTTTCCCTCCTATCAAATATGAAAGCTTGATCCAGCTGCTGTGTTGCGGCATGACACCAAGCAAGTCCACATGTTCAAAAGCCACAAAAACCTTATAAGGCAAAAGTAGTCAATAGGCAACCCCACCTCCCTTTATTAGGGTTAAGATACAGTCATCAAAGACTTGATGTTTTCTGTACAGCCACCTGGACTTCAGCCGCCTTTAACAGCCTTTAACAGACACAAGACTCACAAGATAAAACAAAAATCACTGCTGTAGGCCACACTCCAAGCACTACTCATGAGCCCTATTTGAGAAAACAAAGTAGCAGCAAACCATTAATTTTATTTCTTTTAGAAAACATGAAATTAGGAAAAATAATAGCAAGGTTAAAACTAGCTGAAAACCAAGAAATTAAAGAAGCACCAAGTTCAGAAGCTGAACACCCTGAACTATTTTCTGGTAAGCTCATTTATATAATGGCTTAACTTAAAACAAAGAACCAGCAAACAAAAAGACCCTCTACCAGAACCACAAAGGTACTTTACTGTATGGTCATCTGCAGAAACCGAGCAGCCCACCAGCATGGTTGGGTTGAAACCCTTTGCAGTAGTCCTCTATCAAGTCTTGGAATGATTGCTTGCGCATAAATATTATTACGTGTCATCTCACAAATCGTATTTCCCCCAGTTAAACAAAAAATGTCAAGAAAAAAAGAACCATAAGCGCTGCAATATGGCAGTCATACGATATACAACTGAAATCATATGGATCTTGAACTAAGCTGTCTTTCACTGTGAAGGTTATAACCAGCATTAAGCCAGCTGTAGCATAAATCACATACAGTGAGGAAGAGGAACTGGGAAACAAGAAACTAGTAAAATGCATCCCTGTGTAAAGGCTCGCGTTGCATCCTCAAAGAGACTTGATCTGACCAACACATACAGTTTAGCATACTTCAGCCAGCTATAGCTAGCTGGCTCATCATATAGCACCTGCCACAGATAATCCCGATCTAAAACCAACAGCATTGCACTGGAAGAGCATTTGTCATGAAGTCTAATGTGACATTCAAACAAATCTGAGTAGTTAAATTAAAAAAATAAAATGAACTGAAAACATGGGGCCATGAAAGCATGCCTGATCATCATTTCTTACCCCACAACTTTTATTCAGACATTTTAAGTTATTATCTCACATCTGCTGTCTATTTTCTTTCCCCAGAGCACTACCTATAGCTCAGGAGAAAAAATTGGGGAATTCATGCCAGCATCCAGCAACGTACATGATAACTGAAGCCTTGTTTGTCAGAAATAACAGAAAGGAAAACTTGATCATGCCAACACAAACTCTGTCAGGGCTGGAAAGCCTTGGAAAAAAGCAGTACAGCTGTCTTCCAAAGCAATGCTGTCCCGACTAGCTGATACCCACATCTAAGAGAACCTAAAAGTTTATCCCACTTTTCTACTTAAAATAAACAAACAAAAATACATACCAAAGTAGAATTTTTAATTTACCAAATTTCATGACAATCATTTTTCAAGTGAGAAGGAAAAAAAGGAGGCCTACCATTAATAAGGTATGGATGATTGCAGCATTTTCTTAGTTCCATCATAGTGTTTAACAGATTAGGTACATTTGCCTGACCTCCACCCTTGGAAAGAAATGTGAAATTCTTTTCAAGAATAGCCCGATAGTATTTCTTCTGTATATTTGTCAGCTCAACTTCAATGATGGTTTCCTCTTTGGGGGCCAGGTTCTTTTCTACATCCTCCTTGAGACGTCTCAGCATCATCGGCTTCAAAATAGCTTGGAGTTTTTGCACCTAGGAAACATGTATGTTTAATAAATAACTGAATTAAAATGGTAAGGCTTCAAACATTTATTTATTTATTTAAATTTTCTTAATTCTAAAATCCCTGTTTCCTATCTTGGATCACAACTAGAGAGAATTTGTAAAAATATCTTTCCTTAATGACCTAGAAACTGAGTTCTCCTTGTTAAATCAGTGAGATACACACTTCTGAAGTAATTTTGTGTGCATCGCTTCCATTTAGTGAATGTTATTAAGCAGACCTCACTTAGAACTGCCCTTCCAGACAAGGGTAGTCCTGCCCACCAGTCATGCAAAGCTAATCCTAAATAAGCACAGCTATATAAGCAAAACTGTCTGTAAGACTGAGCTTTGCTGTCAACTTCTGCTAAACACAGTGTTTAATGCTATTTGCTCCTTTCATGTATCTGCTTTTGATTTTTTTCTTATTTCCTTAGTTCTGATATCAACTGATGTAGTAAACTCTTCACATCTATCTCAAAATGAGAACATTTTATTTCTGTAAATTTTTCACACACTAGTAATTTTTAAGTATCTCCAGGTTTTGTAGCACATCTTTCAAGACATGTCCTAGATGCTGGGCAAAGCAGAAGGAACATCCACTTTCCTCAAAAAAAATTACAAAACCTTGACATAATTTAGCTAAAACCTCAAAAATATTCCATATAGAAAAAGCCCAGCATTTAGGTTGGTTTAGGTTTTCTCTCCAAGTACAAACCAGCTGCTCAGTGTTGAAGAGCTGATAATTTACCCTGAAACTGGTCACCATCTCCTGATGCAGAGCTGCACAGCAGAAACACAAACAAAAGACTTTTTTCTGAATTCACATTATCCCCTTATTAATAAAGCGACTTCAAGAGAAAGAAGATAAGTTAGTACAGAGGGGTGAACAAAAAATGCACAGAACAAGATTGCAAGGAATGGAGGAAAAAACCTAAGTCACTAGCACATAATCTCTCCCATCAGCTGATAGATAAATCAAATTCCACAACATCTAATGGTGTGTCAGCACAGAAGGCACCTCTTCCAAAAGTTGGCCCAAGCAAGCCAGGCTCCAATTCTGCTCATGGCACTATTTTAGTAGGATTTCTATCTATGGCTTCAAAAACTTCCACTTCTCTCCTGCTGATATTTTGAGCTGGCCAGACAAAAGCTATGCGGAGAGTTAGGATATATTAACTCCAGCTCACACACTCTATTAACAAGACTACATGGCTTCTGGATAAGAGCTGGCTCCCTTCCAATCAGGTCAGAGTCCAGCCTGACCGGCATGCAACTGCCTGCACAATCTGTGGAAACATATCCTATGATTCCCTCAGGACACGCTACGATTTTTCCAGGAGGTAAAGGGCTCGGGTGCGGGGGGTGGGAGGGGCGCAGGGAGAGCTGTTTTGTAATTTAGACTATTACTTATGAAAGAGTTCTTCTCAAAGTTAACAAAATGTAAGCACTCAAGAATTAGAAATACCAGAAATCGTATTTTCAGTCAAAACCAACATAAATTTGCACACAAGTGACATTAGATTACCATAGGGTGCAAACGGCCAAACTGAAGTGTCTAAATTAAGATGCCATTTGACTGTTACCAACTGACTTTTTAAAACATTTTCACACATGCAAGACAACATTTAAGCTTTACATATGATCCTCGGAAGATTTTACATCGAGCTGCATTGAGGGTCTTTCATTTTGCATCAATTTATGGATTTCTTTCAGGACAGCTTGAGAAAACTGTCTGTCAGTCAAAACAATCTCCCTCCATTTGGTTGCCTCTTGCTAAACCAGGTTTTAAGTATGTTCCTGTTTGCACAGAAATCATTGATACAACTCCCAGATATTAACTCCACAGAAGTTTTAGAGGACAGTCCCCCCCATTCTTGTACTGATGCTTAACAAAGAATTTCAAAAGGCAAGGTAATTCTCTTAGAGAGAACAAGCAGTTCTGTAAGTATTTTCACCCGGCATGTCTCACAAGTCACCCTATCCCCATTTTTAAACACCGTATTTTAACGGGGGGAAACTTCCCCCATTTCTGCACAGCCAATGACAAAGGATAAAAGAGAACAGCGAGAAGGCAGAAATGACTTGGTCAGAAGCAAAAAACTCAAAAAAAAAAAACCAAAACCAGACCAAAGAAAAAAGTATTAAACTACTGTGGACTTCCAAAATGTAAATAGGCATTACTTGTAAAAAAAAAAAAAAAGGTAATAAAGTTCAGAGATAATCAAACGGGTAAATTCACCATAACTAAATAGAAAAGTAAGTCTGCAGATGTTCACCTGTTCTTCAGTTTTCAGATCACCAAATTCTTGCATGAACGTGGTTTCTGATGGGAAGCGACCTGGTTCCAAGAAGTGAAGCAAGCTAAACAGCTCTTCCACTGTATTCTGCAAAGGGGTTCCAGTAAGCAGCACTTTGTGTTCCTGAAAGGTGAAGAAACAGTTGCCTAGGTATCCATCTAAATTAATTTTCAATGGAGAAATACATAAAATTATCTTTTCTTTTCCTTCCCTGTAGGTATCGCTCATCTTCCCCTCCCCTCCCCCAACTACTTACATCTAGCTCTTTTCAAGACATGTCTAAATAGTATTCTGGCCTTCCTTCAGAGATAGCCCAGAAAAATATTTCCCTGCTTAAGCACTTTCAGAAGTCCTCCAGATCAAAGAGATTTTACTGATCCACAACATCCCAGCCCTTTCCCAAATAAAATGAACTTTACACAGCAAAACAGCAACTGAATTTATCCCATCACTGCCAGGATAAATCCACCGATTTACTATACCTCCAGCAGATCTCAGTGCGTGAATCTCTCCAGGGCAGCTCTAAGTTTCTAACAGAGAGAACCTGAAGCAGAGCCCTACTTTCCATCTACACACAACAGCGCAGGAGACTGGCAGAAACAAGAGGAAGAGCTGCATATTCCTTCAGAGGAGGAGCCCAGAGAGGTTAAGCAACTAGCTCAAGGTCAAACATGAACTGAGTAACAGAGCAAGAAGTGAAGTGGTAAGTCCCATATCTACATCTATAGCCACACCTGTAAGCTCAGCTTTCCTCTAATAGCGGCCATAATAAGGAAAATAAGGTGTATGATTCATCTTTACAAACTTCTATTCGTTAAGCCTCAAGATTCCTTCAAGAAAAGTATTGTTTAACAAACAGGGAAAAGAAACAAAAAGTGACCTGTAAGTCACCAGTGCTTGTGTAAGATAATGCTTATGTCTCTTTATTCTTATCAGAAATAAGAGGTTTTGAGTTCCAGGTATTAACGTAGCATGACTGCATTCCTCTCGCATTTTAAAGACTCTTCTGACCAAAAAACAAAGCCTTTTAAATGGTAAACACCTTTAAAACCCACCTTTTTCTGCCTGCTTAATGAACGTATTTTGTGCACATAAAACGTATTTATGTAAGCATCAGAAACCAATTCATTTTTCCCTTCTTTAGCCAGTGGGAAAGAACCTCCTTATGGCCACACAAGAGATTAACATTTGAGCTGACACTAATGCAGAGCAGTTTAACTCTCACACCGGTACTTGGCCACCTGACCACATCACACCGTATCTATGTGAAGAAGAGACTATGGAGTAAAAGTCACATGAAAAGAGAAAGGAAATAACAAATTTATCTTGATTCTCTTAACAGAATCCACATAATTCTAGGTCTAAATCAATGAAGAGACTTAGGAAACATCAGCACTCGAAAATTCAAGGACTCATATGCCTCCCGGTATTTTAAAGATCTTCTCAGCGGCATTCCATCATTCTTTGCACTCGGTGCTTTTACTTGAAGAAAACATCTTACTTCACATTTTGATGAAACTGTACATCAGGAATAATAAAAATACAGAAGACACAAATATAAGGGATGTACACACTGACCAGGTCCATCATCTTGAGTCCCTCCAGAAGCTTACAGTTCCTGTTTTTCAGCCTGTGGGCCTCATCAATGACCACGCAACGCCATGGAATGTTACGCAGCTCCGGGCAGTCAGTCAAGATCATTTCAAATGTTGTGATAATGGCATGGAACTTGTAGGACCCCTTTATCACACGACCCTAAAAAGAACAACAAAACCAAAAATAAACTCACTGGCAAAGAAAGGACATACATTTGTTTCACCTTCAACACTCATTCTTTAAAAATGCAGAGTAACACAAGGGGCAAGATATTTTAAGTAAATAAAGTCATAGAATCATAGAATCACAGAATGGTTTGGGTTGGAAGGGACCTTAAAGATCATCTAGTTCCAACCCCCCTGCCATGGGCAGGGACACCTTCCACTAGACCAGGTTGCTCAAAGCCACATCCAGCCTGGCCTTGAAGACATCCAGGGATGGGGCATCCACAGCTTCTCTGGGCAACCTGTTCCAGTGCCTCACCACCCTCTCTGTGAAGAATTTCTTCCTGATTATTATTGCTGATTATTATTGCTGTCATTATTGCTGACTCAATGAGGGAATACCATTGCTTAAGTTTACTATTGGTTTCATGCTAGGTATGCTTTTAATCCTGTAAAACGGCTGACAGAATCACTGCATATTCATTACAAAGATGTTATACAAGTATTTCAGTTGTAACTCATACGGATTATATTAATGCCTTGAAGCATTATGTGTGCAATGTAGTGACAGGACAAGGGGTAACAGGTTTAGATTTAAAGCAGCTAGATTTAGATTGGATATCAGGAATAAAAACCAAACCACCCTGAATAAACTTTACACAAGATCATGAAATTAACATCTTTCTGACATTACGTTTCATTTCTTTCCATTGTTGTTCAAAGAAAAGCGTAACTTGGTAACTCCAGTGCCACTGGGCGTGCGCAGAAACACTGTCTCGCTAAGGACGGGCATCGCACAAGTTCAAGGCTGTTCTAGTTTTCAAAGCAGGACTATGTTGTGGTTTGTATATTCAATACATTTCAAACGAAACAGGTATCTTAGAGTAAGGTGACCATTTCTACTTTCAAACATGTACAAGTCTGAATCCTTTTACAAGTGACCGCATATAATCCTCTCCAAACTGTGGGGATCAGAACTGGCTACTGACTCAATAAAATGATTGGAAACCCGATATCCTGAACTCGGAATTAAATCTGCCTATGCACATCAAGAGTGTTTCAGAGAAGTAATGACCTGCCCAACAGTGCTTTCTCATGGCACAGCCCAGCAACATTTATCTTCTGAGCAAGAGAGTTGTTACCTAACAAGCAGCAGATGAAGATACTTAGCCAGCAAACTGAAATGCTGTAACCTCTTCATGAGCAAGATGTAACTGTGAAAATACTTGAATGCAGCCCAGGAGATTCTTTCCCAGCAGCAGAAAACACTTCCATGAGCAACCTCCTAACTGTATGGCAAGCAGTGCTCTTCAAAAATCATCGCTACATAAAACAGCACATCCAGGTGAAGCAAAAAACCCTAAGAAGGACCCTTGATTATACACTAGAGCTGCCTAGATCTCACTATAAAACGTGAGTAGTGGTCTTTCCACAAGAGCTGACGTTATTTGAAAGACAGTCAAATGCTGTACTGAAGAACACAGGAGTGAATCAAGCAGAAAGTTTCAAGAGCTCTCCAAGAGTTTTAGAAGGTGAATGACGTTGGTTGTTCAACAGTTTCAGGCTTCCAACACTTGGGGAAGTATGGGAAAGAACCCTAAGTAATCCTATTAATGTCACATTTGAGACAAACAAATACAGAAGCTACCAGGGAAGTGATCTATAGCACTGTCAGCTAGAAATCAATTTATGCTGTTTCGGTGTGACATCCAAATGAAGTTCCCTGATGTTGGAACCACAGAAATTTCATACCCGTTTATTCAGAGAAGTTCTTCCACTTGAGGAAATCAAACTTCCTAACTAGTAGCAGTTTCCTGTTCTGTTTGGGAAATCCTTCTGGCAGTATCTCAAGCAACAGAGGTAGCCACAAGGTACAACAATTGAGCATGAATACAAAAGTTGGGTTATGTTTCAGGTTATTAGCTCCTAGCAGAAACAAACTGAGATCAACTGTACGTGTATAAGAAGTACACTTCTAAATTGATGCACAATCCACCAATGGAAAGCATGAAAAATTATTATGGTCTTTTCCCACTAACCTCAGACTCCACTTCAAGGAACAACAGAAGAGATGCAAGAAATGTGCACATTAACCACTTCTAGCCAGAAGGCATCTGCAAAACTAAGTTGCAGCTGGTTTGTAAAATGCAATTTGACATCACCTTCTGTGAAATACAGAGTCCCTGTTGGTGAAATACTGCCTTGAACTGCTGCACGCTACCATTCTTTGCAGAAATCTGAGGTAATCCTATCCCGATAACATGTTCGTAGCTCAGTAGCTTCTGAGCAGGGAAGAAAACCATGCAGGCAAGAAAATACTCTTAAGCAAACACCCAACTGAGCCCAAAAGGAATGAATCAGGTAAGCCAGCAAAAGTCCTGAACATCAAAAGCGTAAGTTTGAGCTAAAAAACAACCCAGGACAAGATATTCCATTTCTACACATGATCCAAGTGCTTCCTCTTCTTCATCCTCAGGACACTGCAGAGTTTCCCTCACAAACAAGTCACTTCTTTTGCAGGGCTCTGTCAGTTTTATGTGGCATATACGGTTTTCCTGATCTTACAACAGAACTCTTTCTCAGAGGTCGAATGCTACAGAAAAACAACTGGTTTATTCGATATTCCGACCAGGGAAGGCCTCCAGAAGGACATTTCAGTTACGCTGCTCAAAAAGACTACAGCAGGCTTCCCTAGGTGACCCTCACAAGCAGTAAGGCAAGAAGAGATTTCAGGTGAATATCTCTGGTAGCGCGGGTCCTCAGCACTGAAGTCAAACCACTGCAGGACTGCATTCTGTGATCAACTACTCAAGGTTTCCAAAACAACTTGACTCTGGCTACTGGTATTGATTCTGAAGATGACACTACTGCTGATGGGGTAGATCCTTCTCATGCATGCTGCCTCGTATTACTGTCCTTCAAAGCCACTCTGACTTCCCCAACGTTCAGTTGTCTTTGAGAAACAGCTCAGCTTGAAAGGCCTCTTTTCATGTTAAGACCTAAAAAGGCAAAGATGCCGACTGTCTGGGTTGATGTGTTTGGCAAGGGGACTAGAAAGTATACTGCCAAAGCCTTCCATCTTTCTCGTCCTTCTCATCCCCATCGTATGCCCAGTGATGGTACTTTAGAGGATGCCAGACTGAACACTACACAGGTATTGTCAGAACATGAAGAGATTTTTTTTCTCCCCCCGTAATTCAGCTTCTACCATGTGTTTTACCTGTAACACGGTCTTACAATGAATGAAACACAGAAGGTAATTTCCTGACACATCTAAGCTGTCTGCCACCAAAAGGAGACATTCACTCCATTTCTTCTTTATCCCCAAACATGGCAATTCTTCTCTTAAGCCAGTTCAGGAAGCAAAGCTAGCAGAACATGATTCATTTTTCTGTGCCATGAGCGCTTTGTCATTACTTGCTATGGGGTCAAATGACTGCCACAGTCATTGCAAGAGGCAAGTTAAGAATATGGCAACAGTGGGGAACAAAACTTTCTGCAGCATCTCTGCTTTTGATCCTTTTAGTTGCGTTCAGATCAGCAAAATGATATTGTGAAATAATACTAAGAATCTGCACAGTTAAGTGGGATTTGTCTCATGACATTTCCTCAGGTTTCATGGTATATATAACTGCTGCACCCTATGGAGAAGAACACGCCAAGAACAAGCACCGCTTAAATAACAAACATGATTCCCAAACATGGGAAACACTTCAGTACAGACAATATGTATATAAACACAAATTTTTAAATTTGATACAAAATATCTGTCTCCGGTAAGAAATAATTTTAAAACCAGAAAGAGTACAAATCTATTCTAGTTCATTTGTGCATTATCCATCTAGGTGAAGAAGCTAAATGGGATTATGATAAGGAATATAAGCCATTAGACCCCAGTGTAGCAACTGTTCTTCAAATCAATCTTCTTTAACAACAGCATGTATGATTTTGATTTGAAAGTTTCTTTGACAAATTGCTGAGAAAATGGTAATTTTCTAGGCCAAAAAGATGTAACTTCTACCTACTATAAATGCAGCAGAAAAGCACATAGTAATGTCAGTACGTGATTCTATTTCTGTTTGCCCTAATGGCATGTCAGGTTGTGCCACAGTCGTCACCTCTAAAACAGTTTTTACTCTGTTCTTTCCCAGTAAAAGCGTGTTTTCCATCTCACAACCCCCATCATAGCTTTGTTCTAACAACTCCACAGTTTTTCAACACTCTTTTGAGGACAGGAAGTAGGAACTAGGCAGAAGTAGACTACCCACCACATTAATGAGATAAAGAAGAATGCTGTAATTTTTCCTCTCTTTATTAAAGATGTCTTTCCTCCTACACACCTGCACTACACCGGCCCTTTTAACCACAGTCTCACAGCATGAACTCATGTTTAACTGGTTATGTTTCATGACACAAAAGGACCTGTATTTGTCTTACAGCTTTCCTCGAACCAAGCTCTCCGTACTATAAGAATCATCTCTATTTCTTGTCCTAAATTGAGCCATATATTTAACTATTCTGAGTATTGTTAGCTTGGATCCAATTTATTAAGTAATACAGCTTACTCTGTAACCATGAACTGTCTTAATCATTTACCACTCTCCCCATCTTTGTGTCATTTGAAAACTTCCTCAGTAATGATTTTATGTTTTCTTTCAGGTCATTGATAAAAGTGTTACATAGCTCATGGACATGAACCAATCCCTGAAGAACTACGCTGGAAATGCAAATCATTTCTCATTTACAATTACATCAAGAAATATCAGTTAGCCAGTTTTAAATCCACCTAATGCGTGCCACATTGATTTTATATCATTCTAGTTTATTAATCAAAATATCCAGTGGCATAAAATCAAGTGCTTTACAGAAAATCTAAATACATGAATTCACCACTATCATGTCTTTAAGCTCAGCTGGAAATAATACTGCACGACACATGAAATCAGGTTGGGCTTGCGCTCTTTTTTTTTCTCTTAAGTGAGGAGGATTACGTTGTTTCGCAATAGCATCGGATGTATGCACATTATTTTCCCCCGTCCTGCTTACTTGCTCCGAGCAAAGCCACGCATGTAAGCGTAGAGATCTGTTGCTCTTTATAGCTTCAGTTTTCCAAATAATTTTCTGTTTCTAACCCCAATCTTTTCCATACTTGCTTTCCTTCTCTCGTAGTAACTAGTCAACACAAGTGCAGCAACACAGATTCAAAAAATATCAGACTTATAAAATCTGATAAAGAAGCACTGACAAGTATAATTTCTGCAAGCTGGTCTTTTCCTGGAATGGCAGGCAAAGATTGATTTTTAAGCTTAGTTCCAATTAGAGCAGTTTTTCCATTAAGAATCTTTTCTGCCAGCTCTCCTCAGGAACACGAAATAATAAAATCCTTGCATGAAACAATGAAACCCTGAACAAGAGTTGCACCATCTCAGTAACCCTTGGTCCCTCCTCTATTTCCAGCTCATCTCTTGGCTCCTATTAAAAAGCACTCTCTCTATTAATATATATGCCGTCATTATTAGCTAAAACCTACTATTATCAGTACTAAAAACCTAATCGATGCTTAGATTAATTAACAACAGTAAAGCATATACAAAAAAGAGAAGAAAAAGAAAATAGTGAAGAGCTTTTACCTGTGGATCTTTGAAATACATTTCATACAACTGAATGGTCCGCCGGCTTGCTTGACTCCCATGATACACAACCACATTCAACTCTGTCCAGGTGCGGAACTCCCTTTCCCAGTTGGGAATTGTGGACAACGGTGCAATAACCAAGAAAGGACCATGGATTCCTTTCAAATATATCTCATAGAGAAACGTAATGGACTGGATAGTCTTTCCCAACCCCATTTCATCTGCTAAAATGCAGTTTCGTCTAAAAACAATAAGAACAGTCTGAATGATTTATGCCCGACTTAGAACATAACAAAAAAGTAAGGAGCTAAATTGAGTAAAGCAGACGTTTCTAGAATGGCAAGTTTACAATGAAAGACATCATAATCTTTCTGCATTTTAAATAAATGTGATGATTTGTGATGCAATATGAATGGATATATCCATCTGATGGACCTCTCGAGTTCACATGGGGGAGGAAGGGGCAGCAGGGATGTACAGGAACACACACACACCTACAAAAGCATTTGCCACAAGAATCCAAAATACTCAACGTTTTATGTAACATTACGTTATTTACACAAAATTAATTTGTATACAACTCCTGCAGCAAAAAGTTGAGGCATGTAAATAATTCTAAAACCTCGCTTTAGAAGATTACTTTCAAAGGTTACTGTTTCAAATAAACTATAAAAGCTTTTCCAAAGCAGGATTCAGCAGTAAGCAGTATTTTACGTACGTGTTGTACCAATTGAAAAGAAGCCAGTTTACTCCCTCCAACTGGTATTCCCTGAGTTTGTTATTGTTTTTATACTCCCTGGAACTCTCCGATTTCTTCCAGTCATCGGCAGGAGGTCGCTCCTGTTTCAAATACAGCAAATCCCATTAGTGGTTTCCGAAAGACCACATTACTTTACTATTTCCAAATAAAATCCTCTATACGGAGCCAATTCTTACCACACGCTCCATTTCTGGCTCCCTAGACATCAGTTTCTCAAATTCTTCGATCTTAGCTTGGTCGATGTCTTGCTTGAGCTCCCAAGTGCTGTCTTCATACGGAAGCGAACACCATTTCACCAGATAATGTGTTACAGGCTTTGATAAGACAAAAATAAGATTACACTATAAATTAGAAAGAAGTGTCACCATTTTTACAGGAGATCTGCAGGCTGGATACAATTCTAAAAGCTTTACCAGACCTCAATGTCTGAATCGACTAAAAGGATAAGCAAACAGCAGGCTGACACCTTGACAACCTAACGAAGTAAGATTAGAGCCCAGGGAATGCAGGCTTACCACCAAAATGAGCACAACACTACACCTGATGTCACTACACTTAGGCTAAAATTTAGAAGTAAACCAGTACTTGTTCTCCATCTGTCACAATTTCTGTGCTTTACCACATATTAACACAGTCAACTGTTATTTTCTTATCAGTGTCATCAGAAACTTCCCAGCAGGAAACCCAACTACCACCATTCACCGACAGAGCAATATGGAAACACCAAGAGTCAGTGAAGTTTTCTATTCTCCCAGGACCAGAAAGGAGTCTCCTGGAAGATAAAGTGATCTCGTTCTGCAGAACAAGTCACTAAAAAGTAAGAAACGGTGAATTCAAGGACTCTTCTGCATCAGATAGTCTATTACGACATTTAACTAAGGCTCCTGCAATCTTCATTTAAATTCTGAATTACCCACATGGACATCCTATTTCTACAGGATTGAGTAGCACCTTAGATCTACATACCAGAGGTTGTTTTGGTTGGGTTTCTCTTTTTTTTTTTTTTTTTTTGTTTGTGGCATTTTTTTATTATAGGTAACTTATAAGTAGTTTGGAATTCTCACTTAAACCCCTTTATTTTAGGGAAACTGCCATATTAGGCAACACTTTCTCAAATACGTTCCTATTTTCGACACATACATGCCATGGTAGTTTCTGAAGTGTTTAATATATGCATTTATTGTTTAGAAATGTGAAATGTCTGTAAGGCTACAAGCACAGAAAAAGTTTTGTTTACCTCTCCATTATCATCTGTGCTACGTGAAAAATCCATGATTCGATCAACTTCCACATAATCTGGATTAAAAAGCTCATCATCAATCTGTTCAAGGAGAGAGGCAAAAAAAAAATAAGAGATATCTCTATTATCCCTTCCTGAGAGGAAAAATGATTATATATTTCACCAGGCAGTAATATTTTGGGTCACGGTGACACAGAATTTATATTTGGCAAACTTCAACATGTTAATTGAAATGCTACAATTCAGCAAGATCATTCCCCGTGAGGGAATCAGACTTCTCAGACTTTGTTAACTGGGCCTCTTAATTACTGTGTGAAACCTTTTACTGTGAGAGAATGTTTAAGAATATTTTAAATGAAGTGTGAAATTACAATTCACTAATGAGCAATCGAAAAGGCTTATGGCATGCAATGCATTTAGCATTCTTCAAAACTACAGCTTGCAATAAAGAAATTAGAGCCTTGTACACTAAGTGCCTTTGGATTATTTTAACTATAGGAATTGTCCAACTGCTTTATAAGCAAGATTCAAAGATTATTATTTCAAAAACAGAGAAAAAATGCTGCATGCATACACAGTTTCTCCAAAACCCACAATTAGTTATGTTTTTATGCCTTCAACAACTTCGGAGATTCTCTTGCACGCTGAAGTGCTGTGTTTCATTTCATACTTTTAAGATTTCCTCCAATAGAAAAGGCAGACAAAAGGACTACAAACTATGTAAATTTTGATAGCTTTTTCTAAAAAAAGAACAAATTCCAAGTACTCACAATAACCTGTGACCCACCTTGGAAACAGATTTTTAAAAAAAAAGGGGAAAAAAAAACCAACCCAAAACCCACACCACTTCAAAAAAAGCCATTCCAGGCATCTTCACTGAGAACAGATGTTAAATTTTACAATGCTGCTGCTTAATGGTATGATATACTGTACAGACTGTTATTCCAAATTTTCATGTATTTATTAGCTTCGCAAAAAATATATTGGAAGTCTTGAAAGTCAATTTAACCTAGTTCCATTAGTATTGTATGATGCAGCAAATACTTTATAGTTGCCACCCTATTTTATAATCATCTCAAAGCATCTCTGGATGCTCCGACACAGTGTTCCTAGATATTCCATACTCTTCTAGAAAACCAACACATTGATTCCTCCTCTCCCAAACTCCTGTAAATTTTATCAGAATATGCCAATCGGCTGCACTTCAGGAGAAACCCACAGTGACCTTGTGCAAGTTTTCAGTTGGCCACGGGTTCCATTTAGCTTGAACTACATAGCAAAAAAGAGAATAAATGCAGTAGCACATGAACCTGTATTTTTCTCAAAAGACAGCACTTCACTGAAAAGTAAGCTTTCAGAGACACAAATCAGCAGATCTGGTCTTTTATTGACAGGACCCCTGCCACACTACTGCCTATGGCTGTAAGTGAAATTAAATTGATGATAAAAAGTTTAGAATCCCTAGTGAGCAGCAGTCCATAACACAGAAAAATGTGGTGCATTTTTCTGACATAATCAGCTCCCGAGAAGAGAGGCCTGGTACTGATTCACTAAGAGCCACGCTTACAATGCAAACAACTAACTCCTCGCCTTAAGAAAAACAAAAATCATAGTAAAAAGTACCAAGTCAGGACAGATCACTTGAGTTTCATAAACTTGCAAGACTTGTATCAAGCACGGTTATACTTTATACCAGGATAAATATATATCACACAGTTGTTCAAAATTTTCTAACTGGACACAGAACAAGATATCTTAAGAATAATCCTCAAACATCCAGAAAAAAGAAACAAACAAATCTTACTTCTGAAAGGAATTTGTTCTGGCCCTGTTTTGCCTTAAACCGCTTAATCTTCTGCTGAATTCTCTTGTCTTTGTCCAGCTCTTCCACAGATGCCCACTGACAATGAAGGTAAGAGCTAGAAGATGAAACAGAAACATCTTAATCAAAACTATGCTTCCACTGCATACCCCTACATATCCCGTGAGTATAGCTGATCATTCCAGCACACTGTAGTGTCACACTTGGAAAACCGGACACTAATCGTCATCTTCACACAAGTTGCTAACAAATCGTCTTTACTGGAAGTAATTATACTTACTAATGGAGAAACCTGTCAGTAAATAAAACAAACTCACACTCAAAATTTACGTACATACCCCATACATTCAGTGTTTGCACAAAGGCAAGATGATTTCTACTAGGCATAGTTAAAACGGAATTACTATGCAAGACATTTATCATAAATGTCACAACTTGACATTATATTCTAGCAAGGAGGAAGGTTTTTATAAGTTAATAAAAATACACCAACACCTCAAATATTAACATGCCATGTACTGTTTTCTGTGAGACCAGTGTTGTAATAAAAGTCACGAGTCAACTGATGTTTTAACACTGACAGAAAGAAAAGAAAAACCTGTGTAAACGCAGTTCCACAGTAGTAATTAATCTTAAAAAACACTCCACACAGTAAGGAAAAGCATCTCTGTCAAAATGACTAGTCCCACTTTATAAATCTAGAGTCTGTCAAAAGTTATATTGCTAAGTAGCCTAGGATACAAACAGTTAGCACAAAAATTACGTGCCAACGTAACAAAACTAAACAAAGCGTAATTAAGCTATTAAACATCACGCGACAATCAAGGTAGTGCAAAGGGTACAAAGGTGGCAGCATATTTAAAGTGAAGTAAACTATCTGCAGTTTGCTGCAAGAAACTCACTTTAAGTGAATTTCTGTTTATCAGATGGAAAATTTGCTAAAATTAGACAAGATATGCTATTTTTCTAAAAGAAACATGAGTTTATCCGGCTGTGAAGTATCTTATTTTGAATACTGCTTGCACTGCAGTTTCAGATCCCAGAAGTGAAACAGCACGCTGCTCTCACCAGCATTCCATCCCTCTTACGGAGGGGGAAGCTACCTTGCTGGAATAGTGGAAGACAGTGCGTTCGTTATCCTGGTCATTTTGAAGTTTCAGTGGTTTGCAGGCACATTACTCTACGGCTGCAGTTAGATCTACAAAGGTGTGTGCTCATGAATCTGCATATGTAACAAGCCTTAAAGGTTTTAATATCAGAGCAATTTTATCTATGGATTTAAATTTGGAGAGGACAAATTAAGACGACCCAATCGAACCCACCGCTACCAATGCAAGGCCCTTCCCTGTTAATTTGCCACTGTTTTGGATTAAACATTAGAAACGTTTAAAGTTGGATAATAACAGTTATATCACCTAAGAAACCAAATTTTTAAAAACTATTTTGAAATTATGTGAACTTAAAGACAGCAACCAAACCTGTAACTTCACTTACAAGTTTTTGTACTTTACATAGAATTCCTCTACTTCTACCTCCTCTCCGTTCTCCATCTGTAAGAAAAGAATTGTTGAAATGTGAATTAAACCACTGAACAGCCCAATTCAGTTAACGACTAAAGCTAACTGGAGTACAGAATACGGTCCCCAGGTAGAGAGGCAAGTGGAGGGGCAGGAAAGCGTTCGTGGGGGGAGGACATGGGCGAGGAGTTTCCTCCAGCAGCTTACCCAAGTACATACTGCACTGCTTACTACAACTTCCAAGACATGAATCATTTTGAACTCCTCCCTAACCACATGCAGCTTCATTCACAACCTCACCCCAAACCTGGCTTTCTGCCAAACCCACAGTGTTAAGTAGAAGCCAAGTGTACCATTTTCTCAGGCAGCAGCCAATTAGCAACTGCACTCCTGAATGCCATATGTATTATTTTTGGCTGGCTCATGGCAACTTTACATTGTGGGTTTTGTAATGTTTTAAAAAAGAGTTTTAAAGGGGGTTTATTCCTCCATATAGTTAATAACTCCAAACAAGAAGCCATATAAAACTAAACCTTATACCTCTGCTAGAATTTTAGTGCATCAGTGTTCATGGCTTTAGTTTTACTCAATGGTGCAATTAAATTCACTCAGGCAAGATGTCTCACATACAGAGCAGCCAAATTAAATTAACACCCAAAAACTATATTTAAAGCAAGGTTAAAGTTGTGATATAAACCAGCAAAACCAAGGGCATTCAGTGCTAAGGGTTGAGACTACCCTTAACTCATCCCTAGTGCCAAAGTATTGCATAACATATGGCATGTAATACTTTGTTGAATTAATCCTGAACCCAGCCATAGGACAAACTAAGGACAGTGCACCAGGCACACGCTCAGAATTCAGTTTGTGTCACAACATTCACCGTTTGTGTTTACTGATGAACTTTGGAACAATTTTAAATAGAAGAGGGGTTTTCTTTGGTTTACATATTTCATCAGGGACAACAACATCTGCAATAAATACTATACGTAATACTAAACAGACAAAACGACCTCTGGGTAAGTCAACATCCTCCATCTTTTTTCTAGATATATATTAAAAAAAGAAAAATAAAACAATATATATAAAAAAGAGACAACTCTAAAGCTAGAGGATGAATTGTCATCTTCCAAATTCTCTCTCAAAAGTTGCTAGCCAGAATTACTTCCACAGCAGTGCAACTAAAGAACAGTGGCCGCTGCACTGAACTCTCATTCTAGCACAGTAAAGTTAATGCATTCCTAATCCCTGATTTGCACAGCGTTCCTTTTCTCTTCCACACTAGCAAGGGATTTTATCATTTCAGCGTTTCTGTCAACTCCTAGTACAGTCTGTCTGTGTCCCTTTCTAGAGAAGAAAGGCCAGCTTCCACCCAGTTCTCCCTGAAGAAACGGAAGAAGCTAAAATATTCCTGGTGCTACTTCTTGACCTCCTTGAATGCTCGGTTGAAGATGATAAACAATCCCCTAACTCTAAACACAGGGAAGCAGCTTTTCCGCCACTTACAAAGATACTGTCAAAGAAAGGAATTTGAAGACCATCAAGAATTTTTTTTTTTTTTTTTAAAGAAAAAGATTTAAAAGGAAGTACTTCTCAAGAAGATATTTTAGAGTTCCGGTCAAAACTGTATTAAAAAAAGAAGTATTAAAAAATAGAGTTCCCTTTATCTGAATCTATTTGCTACTCTGAGGCAAAGTTGATCTTTTAAGAAGTCATCCCTAATTTTTAGACACTAACTTTTATTTTTTGAAATGCATTATGGCCAAGCCTTTGATCAGTTTTGAATCAGAATCCTTTGAGATCCATCAATCTTACGGTGACAACATGGTTAAACACCTTTATATAAAGGTTTCATGTTACCCAGTTTAACTCCCCTCAGCAGCATTGCAGTCAAGTCTATTTTCTGTCAACTGCCAACTTAATAACAATAATTTACAATGTAAAACTTGATAAATCCTGTAACTCTCGCAGATTAAAATGTACTTTTGTGTTATCTAATAGGTTAACAACTGGTCTATGTTATTACATGTTCTATGAGCACGCATCAAAGATTCACTTAAATAAGAAATATTAAGGGGGGGGAAAAAAAATTCTTTTAAAAATCTTACTCTGGCATTCATTCTTATGGCCCCCCCCAAAAAAAAAAAAAAATCTGATCAAGTAACAATCACCAGCACTCAAGTAGGGTTTAACACCACATCAGTTTAGGATATATTTGTTGGAAGCTTATGCCTTCGATGTCACTGCGCAATCCCCACTACACATACGTTTACATTAACCAGATAAAGCAGGGGGACAGAAAGTTTATGCAAAATTCTCCCAAAACTGATTAGGCAGACATCCTAAAATAGCGCACGGCAGACTTGGGCAACGCAGAATGCTTCGAATTATCATTGCCCAGGTGTGACCAGAACCCACAATCTCATCTACAGTCTCTGCAGATAAATGAAGAAATAAATGATTCCTTCCTTCAAGCAAATACTTTAGAGCACACCATCTTGCACGGCCATTGCCACTGCAGTGAATACCTGCAAATGCAAAACTTATCTGAGCAAGCCGCTTGGGTGTAGAGACAAATAAAAGCTTCAATAAAAATCACACATACACACAAAAAACCCACCCAAAAGCCACACGTCAAAAATCCCCAGAAATATCAACCGCTGAAAAAAATAGCGGAGAGAAGACATTAGTAACAGACACAAAGTAACAGACAAAACCCCATCACCCCAACTGATACACAGCACTAGATTGTCAGCTAATCAGGTTATAGCAGAGATACAGGCATTTGTACTCAGTTCAATTAGATCTAATTCTCACCCTGTACTGGTGGGCGAGAAGAGAAATTCAGACGCGTAACATGCAGGTATCATGTCCTACAGACCCCACACCTTTCCATGAGATGTGCCGTCTGCACTGAATGGCGTAGCTAGGTCTAGCCATTCCTTTCCAAAGTTAAGGAGCAGAAATTCAAAGGGGACTGAAGCTGGCCAAGAAAATAATTAGAAAAACGAAAAATTTCCACATACAAACTGAAGACGTCAGGGCCGTGATGGTTTGAAAAGAGAGTGAAATGTGTACTTAACACTTTCTGCAAGAGGGAAGAGTATCCAACCGAATTCAAAAATTCCATGTTAAGAGCAACAGGGAAAAACATTGTCTTTTATGCTTCCAGCATGAGCTGCAATAATTTCTACCTTTTATTCTCCACATTTCAAAAGTGGTTGCAAGTACAGTGCTGTATCGTACCTGGTGACTCCAAAACTGGAGTCAGGCTGGTTTTGAGACAAGCAGTATAATGTTATGGTAAGAAGACTGCCCCAAAAGCATATTCATTACCCAATGTCCTTTACTTGAACGCAACATCTTTGTTACAACCTAATCCACTGAAAGGTTTCCTAGTGAAGCCTTTCCTCATGTTTATTTTATGCACCGGTCCTGATCGCAGCAATTTCACTTTGATTAGTAATCTAACAACCAGGGTTTTGATGACGTTAGTAGGAGTGTAAAAGACCTTTAATAAAAGCACAGTTGGAGACTTCAGATGTTAAATATTAACATCCTGAAATCCACCTCTTTTTTTCTTTTTTTCTGGATTTTTTTTTTTTTTTGAGAGGAGGATTGGGGAGAAGAGCAGGGAAAGAAGAGACACCCCTCAAACCTGAAAATACAATCCATAAAAAACATTAAAGAAAGAGCTCAAAATAGAGCTTGCCTCCAGCAGAGCTTGCAATCAAAGACATGTAGGCAGCAGACCAACCACTTCCCACAAACTGCAGCAAAATACACACTCCCCATGAGTAATCACACCTTTGTTTGCAGGGGAGAGGAAGAAGAGAAGAATAATTGGTGAAAAACAGCTTCCAATGTAAAGACATTTATGAAAAGACCACATTCTCCTCTCCTGCCTAGTAGACCATCAGAACAACTAATTACTGAGTTGATATTACATGAAGTTTATCCAAAAAATAAGCCTGTGGTTTGAAATACAAAATATAGCTCTAGACTTCAAAACAAGCCCTAGAGGTTTCGTGCTGTGAAAGCTGCAGAAACAGGTCAAATACAATCACAGCCAGTCATGACATTGCATGAATTTAGGTTTACCAAGCTGCTAATGATGTTATTACAATAGTAATGAAATTAACACAACACCCTCCCCAAACAACCAAACAAAAACAATCAAAAAACCCCACCACAATACTAAAAAAAAGAAACGAACAAAAAAACCCACATGAATAAAGGCAACTTTCCCTCCTCCAATGTGAAAATTAACACTTTGAGGAAAAGAAACATGTCTGGTTAACTAATGTCAAAATGAGTACAGCATCTTTCTTAACCAGACGGTTCTGTGCCCAATTGCAGTACAAGTCAGAGAACCAGCTACACAAGAGAGCCTGCAAAACATAACCATGTCCTTTTTGGAACAAGCTCTTTTCTACTTCCTACTCAGAGTTCAATAGTTTAGAAGTGCAAAGGCCAATCAAGTTGTGAAGCAGATTAGAAGAATCCGTAAGCAAAATAAGACCATAACTAGCAACCAGGGCAGAATTAAGAGAACCACACTCAACTAAAGAGAGTGGTTCCTTGTCACTGTGCTAAGATGGTGAATATAAACGTAAGATTTTTGATCGCATGTGAAGTTGTTTTAGCTGCTAAACACAACGACTATCAAAAGATGCAAAAATTATGAGCAAGGATTTCTGTTTACTAGAATAGTCAGAAACTTAGGAGGCAGGAAGGTTCTCACACTCCTCGAACTCCCATGAAACATCACTCTGAAGAGAAGAGCACCATAGATTTCACCCAGGTATGTATATTTGCAAAAATCAAAATTCTCACCCGAGAAAAAAACCCAAACCCTACCAAACAAGTAATCAGTTTTGTGCACGTCTATCCAAAAAGCCTGTCAAATACCATCAAAAGACACTTTCAGGAAACCTCCTCTATTCAATAAAAGAGATTTTGATTTTGGAATATTCGAGGTATCTGGAGAAATTAATAGGAGCTTCAGCAGAAATATGTTTAGCCTGTTTGAAAATATGGGGGTAAGGGGTTTTCTTTTGATTTACCTTTTTCTTGACTGAGCGGCTACTCATGATTTTCTCCACAACAGGGCCTTCAGCATCAGCAGATTCCTACATCACAAATTACAAACAGGAGTTACAAGAGTGCATCTTCGTTACTAGAAGACTTCCTTCACTAGAAAAACTTAAAATATTTTTCCCCCAGGCATGAGAACTGACAGGATTCAGAAAGATTTAATACCATAATAAAGGATTGAAGGATACTTGTTTAAGCCCATTTTTAAGAGCTAACACAACTCTAGCTCTCAGTAAGGCAGACACGCACATATACACAGATATAACCACATGGGCAGTTCACCTCTCCTAAAATAAACACACGCTCTCAGTACCATACAGTCCAAGTATCAGGTGATGTTCAGAAACTCGAGTTGGCTGTCTAAGCGTCCACACAACAGCCACCAAAATTGCCTGCGATTCTCTATTAAACTAATTCACTGTTACAATTGCAGGCAAAGCTACCAAATTCTCCTTCTGATAAGACACAATTAACAGTGGAGATCGCATACAGTATTTCACAGGGCTTAACAAATTACCAAATGAAATACCAAAGAACATGTATATATTCTCCAATAGGTCATCAGTTAGTTAAGTGAAGTAGTCCTTTGAAAAAGCACTACAAAACAATGAGATTGTTACAACAGTCATTCCTACGTTATTACCCCTCATCTTATTCAAACTATTTTATCCATCATTTACATTGCACAGAGAATAAAGTGTACCCTGCTGGGTACTACAAGGCAGTAATTTCATAAAGGGGTTCTTATGGTGCCTAGCAGCAGGGGACAAGCTTGAGTGGTTTATTAAAGTCACAGAAGCCAGACCACTGAATTCACAGAAGTAAATTCAAGAATCCTAGCAGTCCAGCTCAGGTTTCCTTGAGGCAGAGACCACAAATTTCAAAGAACAGCGTCAAACTGCACATCATCAGCTTGTAAACAAATTAATGAATTGATATATACTTTAAGAAGGTAAAAAGCTAATGCCTTCTGGCCCACTGTGCCAACCAGGGATGAGTACCATTCAGGAAAAAGACCTCTATTTGAACTTTGAATGCTGCAGTTACAGCCACCTTTCCAGCCCATTCATATCTGACCTGTTGCTCTGACTGAGAAGTATTTGAAGGAGAGTCTCTTCCAGCAGCATCAGCATCATCAGCCTCCTCATCCGAAATCTTGAACTCCAGGTCTTCTGTATAACGTTTCCTCTTCACCTGCCTGCTGGAGCGTCGCTTCTAAATAGAAAGCATTGATATTTTTCAGGAGAAACAAAACTGGTAAGCAGCAGAGTAACTAAGAATACTTCTTTGTGTTTCTCAAACACACTAGTGAGTAGTGAACGCTATTGTTTTTGCAGCACCCTGACAGAAACAGTGCAATCAAGACACTACTGTTCTGAACTCCTGCCTGTTACTTGCTCAAATTTTGTAAAACACAAAACAAAGCAACCACCAAAAAAATCGACTTCACGCTTGTTCCGAGTTGAAAAGCAGTATTTTTTCTTTTTTGTTACAGCCTTACTAAAGCCACTATAGAAAATTAGAAAGCACATCTCAGAAAGCAACTGAAACCCAAGAGGTTGCACCTCTCAATTCGCGTCTCCGACAAACCTTGACAGATGGCCAGTGCAGGAACCGACCACCACCTATCTGCAGCGTGGCCCGCAGTGTTGCTAAGCAGTGACAATCCACTTTCTTGCTCTCCCCATCCGCCCAGTTGTACCCAGATTACCTTGTAGGGGCAATACAATTAAATACAATTTCTCCCCTCCACTGACCCAGAACTGTTCAGAAAGACATCATGCAGCACAGCCTGGGAAAAGACCCCAAACTAATAGAGGAGAATAAAAAATGTGAACCACCCCGAACTGAAAACGTGGTTTCTGAACAGTCCCTATACCCTCATCTCCAGGATGAAAGACAGCTTCAGAGAAACTGCAGAAAACTATCTGTAAAATATACAAGCATGCACCTGACAAAATTTGCAACTTGATGCTCAGTGCCAGACACCATTTTCTGCAACAAAAAAGTTCGAATTCAGATAGTCTGCATCAGGTTATATACTTTGAAGAGTTGAGTGCATATGCTCTTGAAGGAAACGGTCATCCAATATCTCAATAAACTGATGTGTATGTATTTTAAAAAATTATGTTGAATAGCAACTGTTAAAAAAACACCTTTATGAATTGATGTAATAGTTATTTTACATCTTTCTCAGCTTAACACATATCTTCACCAGTATATGCAATACTTACGTAGCTTGTTTAACAGATCTATGCACTCTGTGTGCATTGAGAGACCGAGTCAAATGTTTACTTTTAGATCATTAATGATACTTTTTAAAGCACAGATATCTGATGCACGCACTCTGTCTGTGTGCATTGAGAGACCCGAGTCAAATGTTTACTTTTAGATCATTAATGATACTTTTTAAAGCACAGATATCTGATGCACTTCACAAAATTAGAAATTCTTCCTTTGCTCAAAAATTTCGTTTTCAGTTAAAGGTTAAGTTTACACCACCCTTTTAAATAAAGGTGATGTGGCTTCTACTTTTAACGTAGAAACTTATGGGCATTCTCACAAAACTTTAAATACTTCTGTACTTGAAACAGATACCACCTGGCAAATTTACACCTTTGTTCCCATAATCAGTGATGGGAAAATATTGATTTTCTTTTGGCTCAATAGGTCTTACCAATATTTTTGGTGCCAAAAATCTCTTTTTCTATTTCCCTAATAGGAAAGATGCCTAAAACTCAGCGGTAATCCTCTATCTGATTTTTCATTGACTTGGTTAGCTTCCTGTTTCCTCTAACGTCCACTGTGCATACATCTACCTGCACCAGACTATCTTTTACTCATTAACTGAGCTACAGGTGGAAAGGGGAGTAACAGGCTTGACAATAGAACATAAAAAATCTGTATGGTAACACACAGAACTGAATGTTTTTCCCCTCTAAAGATAACAATGCATCACACTGCATTACTACGTAACAGAAGACTCTAGTCTAGTGTTTAACACTAAGAATGCAATGGCTTTAGGCAACTGCATAGTATCAAACTCAATTTGGAAAGGCGTAGTAAGTTTATTATTTATAGCTGTTCTAGCATATATGGTTGCTTAAACTTGGGGAAGGATTACAAAGAAGTGCGGGTGCAGAATAACACGTGGAGTTCAAGAAAGCATTAAGAAAACAAAAAGAAAACAAAAAAGACTGTATTACATTTTTAATTAAGAAGTGATGCAAATACCGTAACAAAGAAATATTTCAAATGTAAAATTTATCACCCAGCTGAGTTTCACAAAGCTTCGTCCCGTTAAACTGAGAACAAGCGAAATACGCATGCATATTTAACTGTAGACAGATCATCTGCAAATTAAGGCAAAAACCACCAGCCTCAAAAGTTTCTTCCATGTCTTTTGTTAGCACTGTTAATCAGGCTATGAGAGCCTTGTGGCACAGTACAGAAAACTTATTCTTGAAGTATTTTAACCTCTTCATGGTGTATCTCAACTTCTCTAATGCAGAGTACATGGCTGGCATGAATCAAATAACCCTCATTGCTGTTGCTGCCGTTTTTAACTCGGATAGGTTAGATTGCTCACAGTAACTGGGAGAAGCATAAACGATGTTTATGTTAGGACATGGTTTGCCAACCAGGCTGCTTTGACCATTCTCAAGCGATCATCAGTCTTGACATCTCTCATAACTATACGGAACACATCCGTGAGCTGATATGCAACAGATGAATGCAGAGGAGTTCAGTAATACCAGCACGACTATTTAGGAGTCTTATACTTTATCCATCACAATTTGCCTCTACTACTTAATGAGGGAATTCTTAATTTTATTGCCCACTCTGACCACTGCCAGCAGAAGCAAGCCAGGAGCTGATCGCTGCTTAACTCGGCTGAAAACAAGAGCACACAAAAGTTGTCATGTACACCGTTTCCACTTCCAGACATTCTTCACACGAAATAAAGTTTGGACAGACCATGATAGGTGTACCATGGTCAAGAGAAATTATCAATGTTAGTTAATGACCGGCAGTCCTGCAAAAAGGCCCTTCACCCATTAAAGCAGTGTCGTTACCAGCCCGACATGCATGTTTCCCACATCCTGCTTTGTCATGGCTTATTCTGCATTTCAGAAGGTTTGCCAAGCCAACGCAAGAAGCACGAGGCTTATAAGCAAAACCTCATAATGGCTCGTTAAGCGCATTTCTGTAGAGCAGAAAATTCAGCACCGCAGGTGCAACAATGACGGAAGAGAACACATGAAAATTCAGCAGCACTGCACACGTACCTGCAGCTAACAAGCCTGCAAAGCAAAATTATGGTGAGAAATACTTTTCTTGGCAAACTATTCACCACAGTGATTTCCAGTTCTCACCTTCTTGATAGGTTATTTTAAACAGGACATAATACCTGTATCTCTGTAACAAAGACCGTGAGAAAGACCATATTATGCATCTAAATAGTCAAAGGCTACACTGAACTTGAAAGACAGCATTACCTGAACCCCTGGGTCATCTTCATCTTCAGGATGAGGTGATGGTGGCGGAGTTTTTTCCAAATCTGAGTTTTCAGAACCTTCCTTTCCTTTGTTAACCTTTTTCTTCGCAGCACTAGTTTCTGAATCTTGTTTCTTGTTACTGAGAGAGATATGTTTGATCAGTATTTGTAGAAAAATGTAAAGCAAAGAGTGCTTATCAAAGTAGTTAACTGGTGAGATGAATCAGTGAATTCGTTATTTTCAACTGCCTTCCTTATTTAAGCATCTAAACCTAACTGTAAAATCATTGATGCATGGGGCATCACTATATATTTCCTATTCCTTAAAACAGACACCTCATTTCTTTCCTTCAAGATCTTGGGCAGCAGCAGTGAATATGTATTTAACATGAAACTAGAGACTGGAAAGGAGGAGCTGCTCTCCAAAACCCAGGCTTTCTGAAAGCAGTTTGCACAACTTGACACATGAAGAGGAAAAAAAAAAAGATTATGAGTGCATTTAGGTTGATATTAACTGTGTTGACCAGGTTAGCAGAACCAGAGGAAGCATTACTAAAAGAAAACCAGCCAAGGGACTAAATGAGAAATGTCTTTATTTTCTTCTACCAACCTAGCTATTTCCAAGTAGGAAAGGCAATTCTGTGTCAGCTCTAAGGGCAACCATGTAGCCCCAGTGCATACATTCACATCTTGTATAGCGGGGAAAAGCCACCCAAGCTGGTTACCTCAGTGTCTACATGACAGAAAGCTATAGAAAGCTATATCCTCCAATGGTAGAGAATGGTTTGGGGGAGTTACCCCCCCATGAAAACGTTTGCCACCTGAGGAGCTGGGACCCATCCCTCCAACTGCTCTCAGAGGCCTGGAAGCAGATGAGGACACACGCATCAAAACGCAGCTTTCAATAACATCGCTGCCAAATCGCACACCAAGACGACCTTCAGCAGCACGAGAGTGAAATTTTTAAACGGCAACGAAGAAGAACAGAGGCTAAAAGTTGGAGATTTTAAGCAAATTAAGCCTTTAAGTCTCACATGGGTTTTCGTTAGCCTTTTCCCTGCTCTCTGCGGCCAAGCCCTCCAGGCCCGTCACGGATTTGACAGGCCGGCTGTGGAAAGACGCCCAAGGACAGAGTTACGAACTGGGACCAGACAATTCGGCACCCTCAACGTTTTAACTTCCGGCAGAGAGAAGCCACCCGGGCTTGGTTTTTCCCTTCGTAAGACCCAGCCTCGTAACTTCTCCAACAAACACCAGCTTTAAAGCTCGTTCCGATCGGGACATAGGCCCACCGCCGGCGCTGGAAGTTGGAAGTCGCCGGACACGGTGACGCGTCGCTTCGGGACAACGCGGCTGCGGTATTACGGCGCTCTCGCCGCCGGCGTTTAAGCTAAGGTGGAGAATAACGTTTTACAAGCGGAAAGACTGGGAGTTTGGGGGATTCATTTTTATTATTGTAGAATTACTGGGCGACGCAGCTTCTCCTCTCAGAAAAAACCACCTCCAACGGTGACAATTAAAAATGCAGAATGGGGAGGGGGAGCCTGAGGCGGCGGAAGGAGGGCGGGCAGGCCTCCCTCCCCTCCCTGCCCGCCGGCCGGGCTCCCCTCCCAGCGTTTGTTTCCGCTCTAGCTGCCACCAATGGCACAAAGCCGCAGCTGAAGCGGGGCCCCCGGCCTTTCATCCGCGCGCCGAGAGCGCTCGCGTCGCCCCGG